GTGAAACCTTGCTATGCTATGCCACCCCACCCCGGCGGTGGGCACGCACTTGGAAGAAAAGGTTGGCCGCCAGCAAGAGGTTGGTGAAGAGGGGACTGGGCGGGGGGGCCAGCCCCCCCCCAAGCGGCACGGAGGCGCCGGCAGGCGTCCCGGCAGGAGGGTCAGCCGGTTGGAGGGAGGGTTGAGAAGTGGCCGGAGGCCACCAATCTACCAAGATTTGCTCCAGTTGGGACATCAAAGCGGTCTCCACTCCCTGAGACACGGAAGACAACTGGTTCACCACACCACCAAGCTCGAGCCATAGATCACGAAGGAGTCGAGTGGTAATTGCGAGCATCAACCGAATGAAGAGGCGCACCACAGTAGCGATGAGAGCGGCCACCACACGCGGAAATAAGAGCAACAGCAAAAGTGCCCACAGAGTCCTCCGATAACTAACCATCCATCTCAGGGAGCTTTGCCAGCCCATGCTGAAGCGAAGCCACCACACCCGCAACGAAGGCTGAGAACTCTGGTCAAAGGGCAAGGCCTCGACTATGGGCGGGGCTGCCGACTGTGCCAACCCATCAGCCGTGGCCCAGCCAGGGAAAATAGTATACAGAGATGTCAACAGGCGGGCGAAGGCCGCCGAGACCCGCCGTGAGCCACTGCCAGAACGCCATCTTGCAGTCTGCTGTCTAAACCCAGGGTCGTCTAAAGCTGCCAACTCTTCTGGGGTCAGTTCGTTTGAAGCGAGTTCCACTGCGCGCAACACGTGACCTCGCCGCGCCGAAACACCTCCAGCTGAGCTACCAGGGTCCTCTAACGAGGGGGGTGGAAGATCACCTCGATTTGCTTGCCTGCCCCTTTGCTGGCTATGCTTTGGAGATGAGCTTCGCTTCCGCTCTGTGCGCCGCCGCGGCGCTTGGACTTGAGAGCGTTCCCCCTGGCTAGAGTGGGACCTGCCCATCTGCAACAACTTTACCAAGCATGTGCTCCGACCCCCAACAAACTTTTGAGACTGAACTGAGGCGGGGTGTTGAGCATGTGGTCAAAATTGTGCAACATGGTCAACTTCTCCAAAGTGCTAGGTTTCAGCTGTGAGGTAATGTGTGTCGAAAAAGCTTCTTGGAGGTAGAACTGCAACGTACTTGCTGAAGACCACCGACCGTGAAATTGCAAAACGCGCAGGTTGCTGTGCACGCGAAAATGATGAGTGGCACCCCCAGCACGCATACTCCCCAGTGTGTATGAGCAAGCTTCCAACTCAAGAAACCGCAAACCCTCTTTGAAATGCTTGTCCCACAAGTAGCGTGTGCCAGGAAAAATCTTGCTAGTGTGCTTCTTGTCGGCCACCCACCAGCGCAACCACCTACACACTCGCGGCTCACTGCACAACACAAACTGTCTGTGCCAGATACGGCGCGTCTTAGGGGACCGCACCATCACCACTATCCCTGGGTCTCGCAACGCTTCACCGCCCTGGGGAAAAGAAAGGTCCGAAACACGTAGGTTGAGAATCTCAGATGGCCGCAGGAGGCACCAAAAAGCTAACCAAGAAGCCATTGCGCAGGTCCAGTATTGCCGGCGCATCCAACCCTCTTCTCGCCACCCCAACCACAGCCATGCTAACACGGCCCCTTCAAGCGACCATAGGGTTATAGGCACACGCGACCGCACTGGCCTCAAAGAGCGCCATCCTTGAACAGCTCGCCAAGCTCCCCGTAAACATGACCCTGAAAGATGTAGTGACCTTTGTACACCCAACAGCCCGAGAGTCACCCAATACAGCCGTTCTCCCTCGCGGTGAGCTTCTTCAACAGCCCTCTCTAGCCATCTATCTGCTTGCGGGGATGGAGTGGACCTCGAAAGAATGTGCCCCCCTCGACGAACCCTCCGCTCCAACGACGATGCTGCCTCAGCAAGATTTCGCCTGTAGGCTCTGGTCAAGCCAACATTCCTCAGGCGCACCATACCAAAACAACAGCGCGTTTGCAAACTGCTCGCAGAAGCCCCACGGATAAGCCCCGCCCAGCTTAGCCCGGTCACCCCTCAGCGGCGTCACATCTTCATGTTGGCCATTGCATACACGAACTATGTGTTTTAACCAAGGCCCAGTGCTAAGAATCTTTGTGGGCTTTTTGTTTGGCTTGTTTGCGCGCTCACAATCTTCATACATGCACCAATGGAACTCATGCAATGAAGTACCCTGCAAGGAAACGAGTTGCTGTGTATCCTTTAGTTGCCAGGCTTTACTGCTGCGTGGATGCTCCAAAAAGAAGAAAACTCCATGTCTGTACGCAAGTTCAGCCAAATACAACGCGCGTCGCCACAAAAAGTTTCCCAGCGCTATGTCGGGGTTCCTCTCGTTCCCCAGAAGGTTGCCACGTGGCCGTAAGGGCCCTCCTCTGTCCAAATTTCTGAGTGCAGAGAACGTGGCACACGGAGGGGCTAACCATATCCAACCAATTTTCTTTTGACAAATTGCCTCTTCGATCCACGTAGCGCTGGCGTCTACAGGTTCGAACATGGACAAGCCTTGTTGCAAACAAGCTTGAGTCAGCCTTGCACTTTCCGTAAGAACTTCCAGCCCAGGCTTTGCCAAAAAATCGACGCCTAGCTTCCGCATCCAAAGAGGAGGGGGTTTTTGCCAAGGAAGTTCACGAAAACGGGAAGGGTGATCAGCTGGGTTGCTGTCCGTCTCCACCCAAAGGAAGCCCAGAACCATGCGTGACAAAATGAGGTACGGCAACGTCGATCGAAGAAGCCCGTTCAACCGAAAAGAAGAGGACCTACCTTTTGTAAAGGCGCCCACCACCACTCTGCTATCGTTCAAAAAGAAATGCACCCGATCACGGGAAAGAGGAGCGCTGGCCAGCCGCACCACTTCTCGCTTCACTGCCCGTGCTTCTTGTAGGTTGATGTGAGCTGTGTGCCTAAAGTGATAGCTTGAAGCAATCCTCCACTGCAGACTTTCTCCTACTTGGCTAGCAAAGCGGGAAGGTTCACGCGGTTCTCTTCCCATGACCCAATCAAATTCAGAAGCATCGCGGTCTAGGCGGACGGCTTCGCCCCTAACCTCTGTGTGCTTCCACAACTTCTGAGCAAGGGCCTTTGGCAGGCAAGCTTTTGTTGCTCCTCCTGAACTGGGCGTTGCATCCGTTGCTATGATCTCTTCCGCAAAAGAACGTCTCATATTCCAGCAACAAAATGGAAGGTGTAGCATCATTCCCCGCAGTTCATCTAATACAAAACCAGGAAACCTATACACCTTGTCGTCGGTCAGACTATCCAAGTACTTGTATACATGGTGTTGTAATGAAAAACATTCCCGTCGAAACTGGAAGCAAAAAGCAGCGTACCCCAGCAACCGTTGCAACAAGTTCTTAGTGCCCTTGCCCATCACTACCACCCGGCTAAAGAGATGCCACACTTGCCGACGGACCGCTATTGGCACGCCGGCTGTGCCTTTCACACCATCTATCTCTGCTCCCCATGCTTTGAAGTTCAGCTCAGCTCGAAAAGACTTATGCAAAGCTCGCTCCAAGCCGGCGTGCTCATAAGCTAACTCTGCTGCTCTCACTTGCCGCATGTCCGGATCCGAAGGTCGCGGCTCTGGGGGTTCAAAAGAGCCATCCACTTCCACATCTCTTCCTGCTTTCACGCGACCAATCACTAGTAGGTCATCCAGGTAGGCCCCTTCCAGCGTGGGTCCATCAGGAAGGTGGCGTCCATAGACCATTTTTGACTGGGGGGAAAGGAGACCATGCTGCTCCAACACGTATTCGTGAACTGCTTGCGCAATATCGCAGGCATTTGAATCTCCCATACCCAAGACTCGCATAGCTGCTCGATGCGGAACAGAGGGGTCTTTTCCCAGGGAAGCGACCAATTTGGGGTCAACCCTACGACCTACAGCATTGAACTTATAGGCATTCTGTGGGAGAGCCAAAGAAAAATAGTACGTTCTCAAGTCATCTCCCGAGCCACGAAGGAACTCGTCAGGCTCCAGAAGCAGCTTTGCCAGGCAGGCTCCGGCCGGGAGATGAGCCCAATCCAAGCGCTGCATCATAGCATTGGCTGGCCGCCTATCAAAGATCAACCGGTCTTCGACATTGTTCTTTCGAACGCAGAAAAAGCCACCAACCAACAATCTACCATCTGCAGTGCGCTCTAGCTCGTCCTCCGACACCAGGGTGATCATTTGCGCAGCTAACAAGCGCTGGATCAACTTCTTTTCCTCCTTCTCAGACACCTGGTGACAGGGACGCGCAGGCCCTCCTCCCAAAGGTTCTGCCAAACAAAGCTGCCCCAAGTCTTCTACCACACTTCTCCTTTCTGGTGGCAACCAGGCCAGCGGGTCAACTGATCCGGCCTTCGCTGGGATTGCCACACGTTCAGACACCACCGGAATGGCGACATTCAGCTTCCGGGCAAGTCTCCCGGATTCTTCGCCTGCACCTGAACATGCATCCATCTTCTGCAAGCTCGTCAAAGCCTCATCCACAACGGAACGGCTACCATCAAAGCTCACCGATTCTGTACAAAAACCTACATCGATGAATTCGACCACCTCGCCAAGCAAGCTCATGCAAAGTGTGTGCACTTCAGCAGACTTTACAAAGCCTCCTCGCGGCTCTCTAGTCTTCCCCCGACAATCAGGGCAACCCAGGACGATGTAGTTAGACCATGCTACCCAAAAATTCAAGTAAGCTTTGGCCCAATGCAACCGTCTCGCTTCGCCAGCGATTGCCTCCCCACTGACTTTGAAAGCCTCGGGGAACGGCAAGGAGCAAGGGAAAAGTGGTGCTTGTTCAACATAGCCAGTCAGAACCGGCTCGCTACTGTGGACACTCTTCTGCCAGTCAAAGAACTTCAAAAACTTTGAATTCCTCCCCCGTTCCCAGGGAAAGCGCATGCACTTTGTAGGGCTCACTCTTGGTCTTCCTTCGTCTCGGCGCTCTGGTGCGCCTCTTTGACATGCTTCCTGACCTTGGATAATGCTCGGACATAGCCGCTGACGATCGACATCTCTTCCCGCGTTCCCGCCCATTCGCGGCGAAGCAGCGGGTCTTGCAGGCCTGTCAGCAACCATGCTGTGGACCAATCTCCTCCGGCCAAGCAGCACTGGATCTTGGCTTTGATGTTCTGAGTCAACTGGGCAGCTGCCGCTGCTTCGTCGCCGCCTCTCAAGAACTCGTACACAGCCACGTCCATCATAGTCGCCCGGTACAGCCCCTTGAACTTGCCGAAGTTCTGCTTCCGAACCCACTCTTTTACACTCCAAGCTTGTCCTGGGACTACCCCAAGCTCTTCCACGATTGTCTTTTCGAATTCCCGAATCAATCGTTTCGGGTGACGGGTAATCCGCCGATGCATGCGGTTCAAGGCGTCGACTGCCTTCAACCCACCGGCCTCTTCGTCCTCCGTCTCGCTTGAGGTGTCGGAGCCGGAACCACCAAGGGACCTGCCCTTCTTTCTGCTTCGCTTCTTCTTTTCCTCGGCCGCCTTGTCTTGCTTCATCATGTAGGCCATCATCATCATGGGAAGGAGCTGAGTGGCGTCCGCGCCGGAAGCGACTGCTTGCCCCATCACTTCTTCGAGACCGGGCGGATTGTCTCGCTTCGACTTGCTGCTGGACGCAGCTGAGTCCTTCTTCGAAGGCTTCTTTAACGCACTCGCACCTGGAGCCAAGTGCTTGCGAGAACGGGGGGGAAGCTCTTCTTCTGTTTCTTCTTCGCTGCTTTCGTCTTCGCTGCTGCCCCCCCCCCGACTTTCCCCACAGGTCCTGCTGCATTCGCTGCAGCTCCTCCGCTAAACCAGACGGCTGACTTTTGCGACCACCAGCCGCCGCCATTGAGGTTTTCACTTTTTTGGGTTGCATAGCCGGGGACTGCACCTCGGCTTCGCTGCTTTCCAGTGCCATTTCTTTCGACACCTTGTCCCATAGTGGGAGAGCTTCGTCTAACTCTGGAGCAGAGCCTCCGACGACTGACCCCCACCCAGGTGGAGTTTTTGTGCTGGCAGCAGAGAGTGGAACTTTCAAAAAAGTGAGACGCTTGCCTTCCTCGCCGGCCTCTATCTTTTGGTCGAGGTGACGGCCAATTGAGCTCTGACAGGCCAAGACGGCCACTCCTAAGTCTCCATCCACCTCCACCGCACGGCCGCGGACTCTCACAAGTCCCTGGTTTCCTCGGCAGCTAACGAACACTACGTCACCACCCACCACCATGGCGCCTAGCCCTTACAACTTGAGCCCCGTTCATGAAGGGCATCGAAATCTGATCGACTTCACGTTCGTTGTTGAATTATTGGTGCAAACTTGCACACACAGACACAGGCATGTAGTCGTCATGCCAGGGTGAAGGCATAACTGATACAACACAGACAAACACATGCGATGGATGGCCTCCAACATTTGCTTTGCTCTTAGGTTTAGGGTTTTAGGCTCTGGTCCGGTTGTTGAAAGACCATCCACACAAGAGCACACTGTGTCTTAGGCCGCTCTTAGGTTGGAGCTTGTTGACCTCAGAGCCGTCGTCCCCGACCCGAGTCGATGAGCGGACGTCGGGGTCTGGTGCGTCGTCCGTGCCGGCATGCACCCAAGCTGGAGCTGGTCGATGTATCTGAGGAAGAAAGGCCCAGAAGATGCCAGGTCAGGTATATGTTGATATATGTACGTTGATATATATATATATATTATTTTTTTTTGCTGTATCTCCCTGGATGAAGTGAAGACCAAATCAATTGGAAGCAAAGATCAAGATACTGGACTGTCTCTAGCTCTTTCGCAAATCCCAGCAAGCAGCTGTGGCGTCGTTGCTCAGCGCCGGGCTTAAGGTTTAAAGGCTGCCTGAAGCGTGGGGACGGACCTCATGAGATGCTGGAGTTGCTCATACACCCGTTCGGCCTCCGTTTTCGTGCCGAACCTGAGGTTCGGTGGGACCGGGGACCCAGGTGCCAGGGTCGGGTCATACCGAACCTGAGGAGGTACGACGAAGTCGGTGTAGGGACAAAAACACTACCCAATGACTCAATGAGGATTTCAGGATTAGCTTTGGACCTGGGTCAGACCCCACTACGAATCAGATAGGACCGTCTCCACTTACCCCTGCCTGTTTGGTCTCCACTCCGCCCCGGAAGATGGGACACTTGAGGAGCCATGGTCTCCCATATCTCCGACTGGAACGTCCGGATACGCAGAACAGCACTGGTGTATCGGGTCTACCAAGGAGAGGCAAGAGAATCCATTTTCCCTATGCCTCCAGTCGTACCGAACCTGAGGTTCGGTGGGACTGGGGGCCCAGGTGCCAGGGTCGGGTCCAGTCATACCGAACCTGAGGAGGTACGACTGGAGGTGTAGGGATTTCAATCCAAAGGATGGAGCTTGTGCAAGGCGGAAACAGAACTCCCTGGCAGGTCGGGTCGTTTTCGTTTCACCCTGGCACTGCCAAGGACCCTTCTGGACCTACTAATCTATATATAAAATGGGCTTGTGCTGAGTGCTGATCTGGAGCTGCAAGACTCAACTCATCCAAAACATATGTTGCCGGAATAAAAAGCAACACATGCACTTGGAACAATGTCTTGCGAAGTGGTCTAGACATGTCAAACCACACACAAGTGGTGGAGTCTTCTGAAATCCATGAACCCAATCTCTGCGAATCAATGGATGTTCGATGGCCTACCTGCTGTTGCGTGTGAGCTTGAGAATTCTGTCATTATTGAGACTCGCCAAACCCTTATATAAAAAGTGCTTTGTTTGTAGTTACAGCTACAATAGCTTTATAAATTGGAAGAAACACTGCCCACCAAGCTCTACGAGCTCTAGGGGCTTCAACCAGCGCTCAGATCTCTTCGTCTACCCGCAGATCGGCCTGAGCAGTGCTGATGATCTCCTGTGGCTGAGCTCAAGCACAAGAGGATCACCATTCATCCCCAGACCATGAGACCATCCATGCCCTAAGGGTCCAGGACCATCCGAATCGGATATCCTTTGACCCCCCGTTCGACCATTCTCTGGAAGTACTTTCACCTCCAAGACCATCCTCAGGAGGTACCTGGACCCTATGGGATGCGAATAGTTTGGGAATAGTCTGGGTCTATCCTGTTCATCAGGGCCCAGCTGCATGATGATCGTTAGGTTGCAGGCCGACATCTCTAAAATAGTGATGTTCTTGTTTACCGACTGGTTACAGGTAGGACACCCCCGGAATCGTTACCTACGTAGATTGTCATAAATGGTTGCGAACATGTTTCAACATATTATCTATTCCAGTATATTCCAGTCTCATTCGTCTGGTGGATGCAAACACGACCCATGGTACTGCCAGGGCATTTACCACGTGGACCGTGGTTGAAATGGGCATGAACACTTCGTGGTCAAATCCGGATCCAGTGGTACCGGACCCGACAGCACGGACGAGACGTGTCTCCAACGTGTACCGTTCGAAGAGGGCAGTGGCCCCGACGGGGAGACGAGTAACTCAAGTTTGCATCCGTCTCCTCGTCTCCTCGTCTAAATCGTCTCGATGTTTGATGCTCAAATGAGATACAGAGCAGCTAGCATTTCGTAGCATCTTTACTGCCGGCAGGAGTCTTTTGGAGCCCAAACGATTCAACATGTGTTCCATATCTTTACTGCTGGGCGTCACCAGGTTGCACAACCCTACATGAAGTTCTACACCTCCATTCGAAGAGCAAGCACCATATCCTTAATTCATGTCTCATTACACCTCTCATTCTCCTGCCGGGCCTACACCATCATGTTCAGTAGTCAAGCAAGCCATGCCATCTCTTCACCAGCCCCATTTCGTCTGCTCTCCACATCTCTCCGTCTTCGTGTTCCCTCGGGGTCCCTCTCCGCGACCGGGTCCCGAACCGCCCCACGCCGACCGCTCGCCGCCGAGCGATCCGGGACGCCGCTCGCGACGGAGCGATGGGAGCGATTCGCTCCGTGAAGGTGGGTTTCAAAGAGGCGCCGCCCACGAGGAAGCCATCCACGTCGGGCAGCTCACCCAAGGCCTCCACGTCGGGCGGTGAGGGGGCGGCAGACGTGATGTGGTAGGATGGAGGACTCGGGCGGCGGAGACGGTGAGGGGGCTATGGAGAGAGGGAGGATGGAGGATGGGAAGAAGATGGAAGAGGAGGATCCAGCCCTATAGGGATCCAAGTACCTTCTCAGAAGGTATTTGGAGCCTCCAAACCTACATAACAGTGTCTCCAAACACCTTTTGAGAAGGTACTTGGATCCCTAGGGCAGGAGGATTTTGTGTTGAGGGGAAAGTGAAGGGAAGTGATTCAGGAGTTGGGATGAGTGAAGGATCTAGAAGTGTCCAAGAAGAATTTGTTTCATTTGGATGGATGAAGTACCAGGCGCCCCACAAACCATCAAAAAACCTTGTTTTTCCTAGCAAAAGAGCTGGTTTTGGTATGTGAAAACCTTATTTTTGCATGGTTTTGAGCTCCCCTGGTATGTATTCTAGATGGAAGCCACATCAGATGTTGATGGATGGATCACCATGTCGTGGATCAGCTTCGACCGTTGCGGTGTCACGAGTTCTGACACCGAATCCGCCTCCGCCTGATCCGCCCGGTCCAACACGGTCCGAGCACGGCACTCTGTGGCCGAGCCGGTCTCGGTCGGTCTCGAGAAGGAGAAGTGGTCGAGCTGGTCGAGGTCGGTCTCGCCTTGCAGTTCTTCTCATTGGCCGATCCACCATAGATGATCCGCACCGAGTCCTCAGGACATCGCTGGAGGTCGGTGTTGAGACGTGTTGAGACGTTTGGACGAGTCCAGGAAAAATGACCGTGGTGGTGAAGAATGACTCAACAGAGCGAGGAGTTGGAGAGATTTGGAGAGTTGGTCTAGTTACTAGTTCAAGTGAAATTTTGAGAAATGCGTATAGTTAAGTCCTAAGTCTATCCAAAGGATTTGGTAAAAATCATACTGGATTGAACTTGATCCCCTGTGTTTGAGCTCATATTGGAGGCCTGGTATGGCCGCCCGGTCACGGATTAGGGACTCCAAATTGAGAAAAACTGGGATATATATATATATATATATCCGGGACTTTCAATTCGTGACCAAACTTAAGATCCCAGGATCAGGTCACTTACCCAAACACTCCATGGGCACTGGCATATAGGACTGCCGCCCAAGCCAGACCGGTCAACCACCCCTGGCATGATCGGCAAATATGGCAGTCCCATGGAGTGTCATGGTTAGGCCGAAGGTCCTGGCACCTGCAGTTCCATATGGAGAGGTGCCGAACGTGCCGGACGGAGCAGCTACCCTGGGTATGGTGTTGATTCACTCACCACGGTGTTGGGGGTCTAAACCCATGCTTAGCAGGCCTTTTGAAACTCATATGAAACAAGTTTTGCGTTGAAGGATGGAGCCATGCTGAGATCCAAAAACTCATCCTCCCTTTTGACTGCTAGTTTATAAGATGTCTAGAAACTTCAAGGATTGCACTGATTGAATGGTCATTCCTTGACAATGGAATTCTCATTCTGAAACCGTATTTGTCACCATCTATGAGTGAAGAACAGAGTTTTTGGTGCCCCTATTCATCAGGCTCCCTTGGAATACACTCCCTGGAATAATCACAATGTGTCACAATGTTCCTCTACAAAAAGGTGTGGTTGTGCAAAAAAAAACTCTACCTTTCCCTATACCGAATACTAATTTTTTGTATGTGTGTTTGTTTTTAATACTCTCTCAGGTGGTTTTCACTCCACTTTGAATCTTTCTAAGGAGCTATATGTCTCCAATAACCTCACTGGAAGTCCCAGCAGTGACGGCTTGGGAAGTCGCTCGCTGCGAGCTGCTATAGGTGCTGCGTTGGCCCAGGAACCGGGCAAAACAGTCAACAAGTCCTTTCCCCATGAGGTCAATTCACCCATAAGGAATTGGGAAAATAACCCTCACCCTAAGCAGGATGATGTCCATTCCTCATAACTGGAAACGCTGGCGGCCAGCCCTTCGCCCTGTCTCGTGCTAGCCCAAGTGCCGCAATCTCTGCGCCACACTCGTCACGGATGCAACGGCGCACCTGCACTCAACCAACACTTTGAAAACAAAAAAAACTCAGAGAGGAGACGGCCCTGGGCACGGTTTTTGTCACTCAGTGATGAGATCCATGCCCAGATGGCCTCCCTATGCCGTATGCTGCATACCCGAACGAAGACATGCCATGGCCTATCAAAGGCCAAAGCCGTGCGAACGGCGTGGGTGGCGAGTTCCTCCTATCCGGGGTCATGGTCTGTCAGCTTCTATTGGTTGTGTTCCCCTCTTCCTTTCCTCGTCACTAGACGCTTTCTGTAAGGTGGCGAAAAGAAAACACCCCAACGGGTTTGCGCTTGTGAAGACAATACGTACCCAGCAACCCAATGTCAGGAAATGGTGCATCATGGTCTCTTAGAAACTAGGTGACGACCGGGAATCTCCTTTCCGACGCGTTGAAGCTACTGGCGTCGGGGTTTAGTCACCCGGGTTTGCAGAAAGTCACCCGGCCGCATGTAAACGCGGCATTAGTCAAAAGTCACCCGGCTTGCACAAAGTCACCCGTTTTATGTTAAAACACCATGTGAACACTCTACGGATGTATGTTTGTCAAAACTGCTAAACATCAAGAATGCATTGCCCCTGTATCCACCTACCCACGTCGATTATCTTCAAATCACTGCTTGGTCACCTTCCCTCTAACATGCATGGAAACGAAGCATCCAAATCATCCAAACAATGGTCGAATGGTGTTGAACTGATATTCCAAAGCCTATCTTCCAATGAGATTGACATCTTGCACCTAAACCGCATGTAAACGCAACATCCAAACGATGTTGTTGGCCTGACACTCTTCCAGTTATATTGCCATCTTGCATCTAACCCCAATGTAAACGCAGCATCCAAACGAGTTTCTACAAGACCAGACGACTTAACACAGGTGCTAGTAAAAAGCGTCGTCTCATTACTGAAGCAAAGAAAACAAATAAGATATGTGAACGCACATACCCTAGGCATCCCTAGGCCTTCCAAGTACCTTCTGAGAAGGTGTTTGGGGTGGGTTTGGAGGGTCCAGTCATACCGAACCTGAGGAGGTACGACTGGAGGTCTAGGGATAATTACACACCAAAAAAGAAACACCAACACCCTCCAACAAGACATCATTATAGGGCGATCTTTCAGAAACCACCGGAGCCCATTTTGGGCGCCTCGGGCCTTGTGCTCTTCCCACCCGCGCCCACGGCGTTTCGGACGGCGCCTGGTACTGGGTGTCTTGCGCTTGGAGCGGCGTGGCGACGACGCCGGTACCGATGGCCCACACCGGCTCCTTGGTGGGTCGGTAGTGTCGCTAGAGCGTCCCGGTGGGGCGATGCGGCGACCTATCGGTGTCGGTACTTGTTGGGTGGTCGGTCGTAGCAAGCGATGGGTCGGTACCATGCTTCCGAAGCAAATGGTCGGCTGGAGACATGGAGGAGTGAAACATGGCCCCCCAAACAAACTGGGCAAGGTCTCTTGAGAAAGGAGCTGTCCACTTCTAGCTTCAAGTTTTGGTGGAGTTGCACTTTGATCTCCTCTATACAGTCCATCAACAAAAGGTTCACCAGCCGGAGAAAGAGTTGGGAAAAAAAAAGTCAAAGACCTATTACATCCTATTACACTCCCTGAAAATAGAAGGAAGTAGAACATGGTCCCAGAAGGATTACAATGGTCCTCTCAAATGGGTGGTGTTCACTCCACTTCCATGAATATTTCAAGGAGTGTAACCCGTTTGGACTCCAGTCTGACCTCGGGCCTTGGGTTCTTTGCCAGGGTGGATGCCAGTGGCGGAGGTCTGTCTCTCGAGCCCTTTCCAAGATCTTCCGTCCGACCATGAAGTGAGAAATTCCATCTTCGACCGCACTCGGAGGGAAAACTCCCCACATCTTCTTCGGCAGTTCATTGAACCTACACCCCAGCCTTCAGTTCGACCAGTAAAATAACGGTTCACCTGGCCTTGTAGTGTAAAATCCATAAACCGAAGGGTTCTTTGGGATTCAAACTCAAACAACCAGAAACAACGGGTTGGAACCCGTGCACCAGCGCCAGAGATCCAAAAGTGGCTTGGACTGGGGAAACCGACTTGTTGCTGGGACTGGGTTTCCGGACACGTCTCCTCGTATACAGGCCATGCAGTCCGAGTGTACGCCGTCCACCCATCCGCTTCCAGTTAGCGGCATGGACATGGACCGATCCCACTGACCAGGGTGAAGCTGGTCTGAGAAGAATGGTCCTTTTCTGCCAAGGCCTTTCATCTTCACGGCCTTTTTGGGCATATACCTCCAAAACACCCACGTTACATGCTGCTCGTACACCGCACCTAAACACGTGGGAACTGTTGACCAAACGACACCCTTTCGCTGTGCAGAGACACGTAGGCGATGACGATCTTCGACCAGTCCGAGATCACAGGGATCACAGCCTGGTGGCATCCGACTGAAGTTCCCAAACATCCACAGAACCTCCCAGCTGCTTCCAAGGGGTTACCAATGGACCACCCTACACTGCTTATAGGTCACCATTGGGCACCCATTGGAAGTGCTAGGTCCATTCTTCTGATAATGGACATGGATCCCAACTCCGAGTTCAAAACCGGTCGGGTCAAGTCTTCCAGTCACGGTTTCAGTCCGGATGGTCTGACCAGGGGATGATTCGAACAACTCCCCGGCCGGCGAGACGACCTACCAATCACCTGACTCACCTGCTGGGAGTCGAAGTCTGGCAAGCACCGAGCCAGCGAGCGTCGGTGCTTGGCGGAAGGTCTACTCGCCCCTCAGAATCTGGGCCCTCAAACACCAAGGGCTTGGTGTCGGGTCCAAACCCCTGCGTTAAGAGAAGCAGGTCCAAACCCCTGCCATGGAGAGCCAGTTCGGATTCTGGCGGAAGACTCCTCGTCCGAGCGCCAATTCGAGACCTGCACCGTCACTGGGGGGTCTCCTGGACCGTCACATCCCGCTACGTCGTGGGCTTTCGGACGCCCGAGGTGACTCTGATGTCGGATGGTGCAAATTCGGCATTGGATGTATACCAGAAGCTCCCTGAAATTGGTGTGAAACCCTCAAACCTTCAAGCCCCTGACCAGTTTGGATTCGGGATCGATCCTTCTATATGTCATGAGTACCCGAGTATGAGTCGCATGGGTATGATGTTTATGATGCTTTTGATGGATCTCCAAAGGTGCCCACATCCCTTCTTCCTGCCGACCCACGCTACCCCAGGTTCTGCATGTTGCCTAATCCACACGAGCCAATGTCATTCCACTTCAGCAAGGCAAAAGGGACATGGAAATGATCAGTAAACACCGTAAATAATGCAACGTTGTAAAGAAACACATTGGACATGCTATATGTTTCTCTGTGTGAGGAACCATGCCTTTTGCCTTCTAAAACCAAAAGGGAGAAAGGCTTCAGGCATCCGGAACCACAGTGAGGCTATACGCCCTGAAAGAGACCCACATGGAACCTGAAAGCCGACCCCTGGGTTGTAGAGGATTGCAATCTTCCAAAGCTCCATGCCATCAGGTTCCATGTGTTCATCTTCCCAGGTATAACTAAATGTACATAAATATACTCCAACATCACAGGTCACTTCGTGTTTGCTTCTCTCGCACAGCTGATCTCGCGCTCTCGCAAGCGGCCTTCATCTGTTTCTCGCAGACGTCTGTGGTCTTCCCAGATTGACCTTTGCCATCTTTGCCGTCTTCACAGTGAATCGAGGTATGGTGCAAGGCCGGAATTCCATGCAAAACCTCATCAAAATATACTAAATAGATTCAAATAATAACAAGGTGTTCAAGGTGTAACATGATGATGATAGCCTAGAATTCAATAGATCTAACTACGTCCTCCTCCAAATCTGCATTTCTGGGTCCGGGACACATGTTTATAAATCCCAAACGCAACATCAAACTCGACCCAGGACCAAACCAAGCCGCGTTCAGCCAACGACTCGCCAATGCAAAAGACCACCGTCAAACCTTGGACAAGTGGCGTGAAGAAACACATTGGCCTCTTTCTTGTTTGAACCTGGGGTGTTAAAAAACAAGTCCCGCATGGACACCCCAAAACAAACTTACACGAGCTTGGTATACAACGTTAAAAGGATGAATGACACGAAACGTTGCCTTTTTTCAAGGGTCCACCATGTTCACATCATCTTTCAAGAAGGTCTGCCATGTTGGATAATTCATGTTGTGCCATTCCATAAGGCCCCTCTATGCGGGCTGCGTGTGGAGTCAAAATGGATACGGAATGGTACCGTGATTCTGTGCATGACGCAAAAAAAACAACAAAGTGTCCATCTGTCGGTGCATGTTCTCTAAATTTCACCTGCTGCCACGTCAAGTAAAGGGATGCCAAGAAGGTTTGACACATGGAAAAAAATGAACCATCGCCGAATTGAACACATAGCTGATGAGTCCAAACTTGCCGTTGGCATCCAAACTCAACCAAAAGCAAATTGAATTTTCCAGACACCTTGGTTCGTATGTAGAGATCCATGATTAGCCTATGAAGCTGCTGAGCACAACCCAAAGGAGTGTCCACGTGGTTGAGGAACCACGTGGTGTACGGACGGAAACATGACAAGTGTGACCATAATGCGGGTGTGTGTAGGGCGCTACAAACATGGCAGCATTGCAGCATTTTATAAATCATCCAAATTCAATATACGCAATATATGCAAACTACATGGGGGTTTGGACAACTTGTGCGCCCATGAGCAGATCAGTCAATTCAGAGGGCTGTGTGTTCTTGCAACGTTGATGTGGCCCCAGAAATCGGAGGTGTCCTTTGCTGCAAGTACACTCTGAAAAGCCTGCGACAAGGAACCTATATATTTATAATATATTAGGCTATATCAGCGTCTCAAAAGTCCAAGTTTGAAAAGTGCTACGATCAAAGCCTGTCGATGCTTTGACGCCCATATTAAGTAATGGACAGTGCTGATGCCGAACGTGTAAAGGGGTTCAAGCTCTTGGTGCCCACAGCTGTGCAAAGCTTTGTGGCAATCTTCCATGTTTGCGGGCTGCAGAGCAATGTTCCACGGTCGCAAGGATGTGGAAGCGCGTGGAAGTTCGGTGCCAAATGTCTGTTTGGCAAGGAAAACATGATCAACCAGTTGCCACAGCTTGCCGACATCTCACGCCAGCTTTGAACAAGTCCCTGCATCACTCCGTTCAATCAGTTGCAACACTCGGAGCTTGACGTCGTCGTCTATGATGGCGATATGGCAATTAGCTGCCCTGCCGATCCTTTTGCACAGCTTGCCAAAGTTGAAATCCAAAATGACCATTTACGGGCATATCAGTGACCTTGAACCAAGGTATTCCCAAGGTCAATTTGGTGTATCTCAGTGCAGGGCCGGGGGAATCCTGCACAGTGCCGAATTCTTGATCTTCGACATCTCTCCATCTCGTGAATGTGTGACAAGACTGGCGAGTCCTGTGTGACAAGACTGCGGTTGATGTTGGCCTAGTTTCCCCTGACTTGGGTTTGCTGGGCTCTAGACTCTGTAGATCCAACAAATATCCATCTCCGGCCACCAATGCCCCGCGCATCCCCCACGTCAGCGGGGGTGAAACGCCCCAGAAACTTGAGGAAACATCACATCAGAAGGCCAAACCACGTTGAAGTGGATCCAAACGGGTCCTCGTGAGCTGTCCATGTGTTGCTGGCCTGTCCCATGTTTTGAGTTCATGGGACACCTGAACCTTAGATCTACCAGAATCACAGTTCTCAAGTGTAAGGCCAAACATGACTCTGAACCCAGATATTCGCGATCGTTCGTGTTTGGGCGAGTAGGGAGAGACCCCCGGACCCCGTGAAGGGTCCAAGAGATCAACATTGGGGCCAGGGGGTCTCCTCCAGGCGTTCCGACGCTACGAACGGAGCTTCTTCCAAGGACTATATAAAGATGCAGCACTCACCCTTTGTTCCACTTCGCAGCCGTTTTGTCAAATAAATGAGGAAAAACCAAGCAACAATCGGCCCATCAACTAGGACCATTGCAGTAGCGCCCTGTGCTTTCGCGCCTTTGCTGTGCTGTGCTCCTTAGTGTTTTGCGCACCTGACCAACACCGTCACTTGAAATCCTTGCAATTCCTCTCATTCCCATAGGGTCCAGGTACCTCCTGAGGATGGTCTTGGAGGTGAGTACGTACGAAACCAGAGAATGGTCTTGGGGGGTCATTCAGGACATCCGAGCAACGGATGGTCCTGGACCCTTAGGGATTGTTATATGTGTTGCTTCACCCCAACTGATCCGAAGACCTGTTCAGGTGCAATTCCTCCACAGGAAGCCATGATTTCAGCCATGGCTAGGAAGCCCATGGCTTCCTCCCAGGTCCGGAGTCTGAAAATCCTTTCCCACACTTCGGAGCCAAGAAACCAACTTCTTCAGGAACTTTGCGTTTTGTTTTTGCGTCACAGAAGGAAGGAAGATAACTTCGACAAGATCCGATCAGAATGGGTGTGGGTTTCAGAAAGTTGAGCTCCAGGAGTGGACAGATCTGATCTGGATGGCTCGAAGGTATCGTCCCTGCGTCCTGAAAGTACAGAAGACATCTAAACCAATGAGTCTTAGGACGTGCCACTCCAAACCCTTCGACATGACCTGCCAAACCCTGGTTGAGCCTTTTGATTCGACCATCTGGAAGGCCGAGAGGATGCCCTCCGAGAACCGAACTCAAAGTAACATCCGAAACGAAACCGAACTTGGCCAGCCTGTGCTTTTCCACCTAACTCAAGCTCCAGGCTAGTTCAAGTGGCTCAACTCAGTGGGGAAAAGATAGGATGAGAAGGGGTTCAGCTGCATTGGCATTGCAAAGCTACGAGGCCTTGTAGGGAAAAAGAACTCCTAGGTAGCAGGACCTCCCGGCTGAGATCACGTAGTCTACTCCCTGTCTGGAGGTCACAAACAAAGACTCCAGTTCAAGGTCACGAACTGAAGGTCCTGCTAGATGATAAGGTGTGCCTCTTTTGGACAACCCACATCTCCTGTCAAATACTAGCCTGAATGGACCAACTTCTATGTCAAGCTACCAAAGTCTTCGAAACTGGAGGGACAAGCCTGCGCGGAACTTGAACAAAAAAGGAACACTACCTGGAGAGGCTCCAATTCAGCCCCACCTGTAGTTCCGTCTGGTCGTTTGGCATTCCTCAACTTCACCTTCCTCTCGCCTTTGTTGTTGGACCGTGCAGTTGGGAGCGCAGTCTGACGCCGGCAAGCTAGCAGGCGTATGCAGGTGTATGCAGGTAGGCCAGTGTATGCAGGCGTTCTTAAGATCCCTAGGGCTCCTGGCCCACCTCCTGAGGTTCGGTGGTTGGGGTGGGTGCCAGGGGGGTCTAACCACCTTCTGAAGATACGGTTGGAGCCCTAGGGGATCTACCCCAGTGCGTCTCTGGAACCCCTGAGCCGCCACCGTCGCGGCTCGGCCGTGCGCATCGGTCGCGACCGGAAGACGTGAGTCGACACGGAATGGTCAAGCGCTTTAGGAGGATCCTGACTAAAGGCATTGACTATAGGCGAATCATATCAGCAGGTCTCCTTCTTGAGAAGCATGGAGAACACGTGGTTCTAAAGACAGCACAAAAACGGGGCTTCCTGAGATTCAGATCTCGTCTGCAACCTCGCCCAACATCCTCCGCGAGCTCGCGTGATCACTGAGGATCTCCGAGTGACTGAAGGACTGGAGCGCTGCACCAACGAGGTGGACCGAAGGAGGTCGATCACCGAGGGAAGGTCGATCACAGGAACTGGTGAAGAACCGGTAGCACCATCCGACCCATATGGGTGGACACTGGCCGTGACTACCCTGCACTATAGATACGGATCTCCAAGTAAAGGACACGATGGGATAGGATGGTCCATGAACGTCTCCCTTCATGGACACGAGAGGGACGTTCATGAAGACCCTCTCCTCCCTGGGCGGAGAGGAAGAGGCGGCATGAGGCTCATGCTGGCGCGACATCATCAGCATTATCTGAGGGAAGCCTCCCTCTTTCCCTTCACCTCGAGGCTCCTCCAGTCGCAACCACACCGATGAAGAGAGGGACCCCCACTGAGGCTCCCAGCCCTTGTCCAGAGCTGCCTGGCGACCACCGAAGGTTCTGCCCGGCACTGTGTGAAGCGGTTCTGCACACTGTCCCTACTCCCTCAGTCCAACCCTTGCGTCGCAGTTCCGTCGGTTGTTTTGGGGGTTGGGAAGTCGCTGGGGTTCCTCACAGCCAAGGTGAGCTGGGACGTCGGACACCGACCACTCGCTCAGAAGCCATGGGGGCCAGAACGACCTGTTTCAGAGGCCACGAGCCCAGGAAGGGAAACAAGTTTGCCTTGCCCAACATCCCCTAGGGCTCCTGGCCCACCTCCTGAGGTTCGGTGGTTGGGGTGGGTTTGAGGGGTCTAACTACCTTCTGAGAAGGTGGTTGGAGCCCTAGGGATCATTGGAGGAGGTGGTTTTAGAAGCCTACCAAGTGGGTTTCTCGGCACCTGTCGTCACCAGGAAACACCTGTTGGAGGGTCCAGGTAGGGGTCTGTAGTTAGAAGTGGGACTAATCCGCAGAACATGCTTATAGATGCGTCTCTCATCGTGAATATTCGTGCATGTCGATTAGGACTTGACCCTACTCCAGGGGTATTCACATTTCATGCCAAGTCGCCCCTTTGCCTGGCACCTAATTACTTGGTGCTTCTCGACCCATCCGCGCCCATCCGACTTCCATGGCCACCACCGTGACTTCCGTCGGCCTTCGTCTTGGCCGCGCAATCCTCGTCCGTCTCTCCGTACAACGAGCGGCGTTCGGAGTGGCCGACCAAGACATACCTCGGTGACGCTCGCTGGAAGGTGTCCCTGTAGGGGTCCAAGAGGGCTCTTATCGCGGAAGGAAACAGGTGTTGGGGGTGCGGGGAAGATCTAAATCTACAACGTCCTAATCGCTTTCTTGTGGAGGATCCTGATGGTTAGGGCGGCATGGAACTGGACAGAAGTCAGCAAGACAGTCGAACAAAAACATGTCCAAATCACTACCAATTGACGGTGACTAGGCTATAACCCTTGAATACTCCCTTGAAGGCCCTTGACTGTGCATTCTTCGATTGGACACAATTAATTACACGCTCAGACGTGCTCACATCGTATATATACTTCAACAAAACAGATCTACTATCGCAGCATCGACAAAATGTAACATTGCCGATTCCCTAACTCCCATCTTCTATTCACGCCTTCAGTAATTGGCAATTGCTTTCCGAAGGAACAATGACCTTAATTGTTAATAAGAAGAAACAACTGAATCTTCTTCTCACACCTCTCCTCCTCCTCGTCCTCGTCGTCCTCTCCACGAGGTCTTTTCTCCCGCCACGTGGCTTAAGTCCGCAATCGGCCACCTGACCAGCGGAGACCTCTCCAGTGAAGGCACCCTCACCTGGATTCCAGACTCGAACGGAGCGACAACAATCAAGAGTTTCCATTCCCGTTCGGCCGGCCTCCAGTCGTACCGAACCTGAGGTTCGGTGGGACTGGGGTGGGTGCCAGGAGGGTCCAGTCATACCGAACCTGAGGAGGTACGACTGGAGGTGTAGGGATTAGGACTGGAATCCCTACAGATCGAGTCGACCCTCCAAAAACAGTGTCGAACACATGACCGTACCTCAAGGTATGTGGAGTGGAAACCCTACCTGGATCCCGTGGTTTGGGGTAACCGTCTTAAGGATGTTTTTGGGGTGGTTATTTTTCAGACACCTCATGGGCTGGAGGGCCCTTGGTAGGAAGTAGAGATTCTCGAACGGTGCGACTGGACCATGTGGAGGTCACCATACAAAACTTGTGAGATCTTGTGAAACTAGACACCGCAGTCGATCCAAGTGCTGTTTTCTTGTCAGGCGATGGGCGATCAAGCTGATACTCCGTGAAAAGCAGCTCCAAATCGACTCAGAGACATCCTGGTCCTCAAATTCTTCCCACTTCCAACTCGCTCTGGTATTGTATTGGCCCATCTATGTTTGTCCTCAAGACTGCAAGAAACGTTTTTTTTGGAACATCCGTAAATTGACGATGTCACGAAGCATAAGCCAGGTGATGAGACCGTCTGACAGTGGTCATGTTTGCCAACCATAGCCAACACACCCATCGGATGGGTGTCTCAGCGTTGGTCATGGTCCTTTCCGTATCCCAGCATGATCCCACTAATGTAGACTCTTGACTAGTAACCAAAGACTTCTTTCAATCCACATGGGGACGTCCATAGCCACCGATGATCCCACACACCCGTCTCCTCGCCTGTCTTGCTCATGTTTTGCACCCCTAGCTGGATCGCAGCATCGCCCGCCAGGCAGTCCTGTAGGGACTGGAATGTTTCCTACAGCAAACGTGCCAATACATGACGTGTGCCTGGGTATGAAGTATGAACAGGACACAGGACTTGAGCTAACTACAAAACAGGTACGGCTGAGACCCAGCGTATACAGGCAGGACAATGAAAGAGTCTGGGCCAGGGTACCAAGAATCTTCTTCAATCGTCCTGCAAATATACTCTTCAATGAAAAACATACTACTTGCTGGTGGCCAGTGAATCGGCCGGTTCAACATGGTTCAACAAAAAAAGGGTGCCTGTCACAAGTGGAGCCCCCAAATCTTCAAGAGCTCCACTTCCTTGGGACCCCTCGACCTTTCCACCCGCGCGTCGTGAAACACTCGCGCTGCCAGGCGAAACGGCGAGAACCTCGCGTCCTGGGCCGCAGGGATGTGCAGCGTGGGAGCAAAGATGGCCACGTCCACGGATTTAGGATCTGCTCCGATGCCCTTGAAGGCCTTGGGTCGTGAAGGACCGGGGTTGCTGTGGCGAGATGGTGGTTGAGCTGGATTGGAGGTGATTGGAGAAGTGGGTGGTGACCGGTTGGGTGGGTGGGTGGCATGTGGTGGCATCGAGGTGCCAACGGACCCGATTTGGATCATGGAGGGCAAATCTTGGCATCAGAACATGCGCCGCCTTGGTCGAAGAATCCGTTTCTTCGCCAAATCTCTCAGGGAAATCCCTGGTCTGGACGTGGTGACTTGGCAATGTGCAGGAATTCCCAGCTAGATGACGGTGAGGGTTTCACCAAGTAGATTGCAAATGGCCAAAGGTGTCGAGGTTTTGGATTTGGCGCATCTGAGCAAACAAACAAAACATATGACATTTTACATTCCCGTCGGTCTGTCGGTCTGGCCTTTTGATTTACAGCCGCCAATCTCGCGCCCTTTCTGAAAGGGACCCAACTTTTGGAATCATCTGGAGTCTACCGCGGCGTTGTTGCAGCAACGCTTTGGTCGCTGCAGCCACAGTATGAGACTCTCCGGGAAGAGTGGGGCCATGTGGGGCCCGCCACATTGGAATATATATATATATATCCAACAGAGGAGTACTCCAGGTAACGGGTCCGACAAAGTCACTTCACCGCTCTTGAAAGCCCCTTTTAGGAGATCTATGATCTATAAGTACTAGGGATCCAAACACCTTTTCAGAATGTACTGGGACCCTCCTAGCACCTACATAACAGTGTCTCCAATCATCTTCTCAGAGGGAAAAATGGATCCTTAGGGGAAGTCCTATGTAGGCGCCCACTTTTGGGGGTGTCTAATACCAGCGCTGGGCAGCCAGGAAGAGAGTGGCTAAACCGCCTCCATGTCGAAGTAAACCCTTCGCCAAGTGCACAGCTGAGTCATTGGCCATGTATAACTCCCATTGCTCACTCAGATTCACTTCTCATCACTTCTCGTCACTTCTTCTGCCCTTTTCGGGGGCAAAACATGTTCTTCTTCATCACAGTCTTCAGCCTCATCTTGATAGAAGCAACGAGTGATAAATCCAACCACGATCTTGAACGTTGGTATGCCGATGTTCCATATGAAAACGAACAGCTTCCCATCAACGCGCCGCTCTGACAAGTCAAGGGTGACCGCTGCAACAATTGCAACATGATCTTTCCAGATCATAACTCGCCACGTCTCCTTTCTGAAGCCCCGTGAGCAAAAATGTGCCAGTCGTGTGGCCATGCGTAGCCTAGAGGACACCTTCAGGCAAAGCACACCAGAAAAAGCCGAGAACTCCTCGTCTTTGGCCTTTGTGGAATAGAGAATTCGCACACTATGAAGGAGAACCAACCACAAGTAACACAAACATCCCATGATTTTCACCCCCAGCAACTGTGAGTTTAAGCACAAAGCAGCCAAGATGATGTCCTTGGATAACTTGAAGCCTGTCCCAAAGCCCGGTGTCAAGTAGATTGCGTAGCATTTCAGGAAATCAAACCAGCCGAAATTGGGATCCTGCTGACAGGTGGAGATGCGCAGGAGAGCCTGTAAAAGGAGCCAACCACTCCCATGTCTGCCAAGGAACCCCGGTCTCTGAGTTTATGGCACCACTGACTGTATCTCGGTGGATGATTTGGCTGAGGACATACACATGAACAGCGAATGTGACTAACACTTGTGCTTTTTCAACAAACACGTAGACAAAATTAGCTCAGTCATGAGCCGGAAAGGCAACAAAACCAGCCAGCAGCAAAAGGAAACAAGAACAGTCAGCGCCCGCAACAATACCACGAATGGGCAGCAAATGCAACGTCTCCAGAAACCCTGCTCGCGCTCCAACTTGGTGCTTGTGGAAGTGGCCCATTGCTTGAGGGCGAAGCCTTTGTGCAGAATCAATGTACCAAGCAGCAATGTGCCTCCAGCAGTGCATGCCCAAATGCACCAAATCCATCTTCGCTCCACTGGGATAGAAGTATCGCTGAGCACATGCGCAATGGCCCTCATGGCGCCCCTTGTCTTCTGTGAGGGAGTCTGCAGAAGGTAGTTAATCATGTGATCCTAGTGAGGCAATGTTCAGCAAATGTAGATACCTTGCCACCCAAAAGCACTTGCATTTGATTCTGTGGAGTCAATGCTCTGCATTCATTTGGTGTGCAGCCAGGACCAATACCTGATTCCACTTGTCGGGAACCTCATACCTTCCACGTGTCCCATTGGTTTAAACCCATAGGGTCCAGGTTCCTCCTGAGGATGGTCTTGGAGGTGAAAGTACTTCCAGAGAATGGTCTTGGGGGGTGAAAGGACATCCTCAGGATGGTCCTGGACCCTTAGGGAAATATGTTTAAATACTGTTCGTTAGATGTTTCTACGTTGATGCTGTCTATGCTACGTCGTCCGTGCGCCCGCGACCCCAACTACAGCTGCATAGAACCAGCCGCGACATGCCACGGACGTCCGTGGGCGTCCACGGACCGTTTGGCCGTCCAGAACGTCTAGTGGCCATTCTCGCTGGGTTTGTCAGGGGTTCCAGGCCTAGAAGACCCGCCAACTTTGGAGAATCTGCTTGAGACCAGTGACCCCTGTTAGCCAAAAGATGGTCTTTTCCCATCAAAACAGAGGTCAAATGACTTGTAGGTCATATCCCCGGATGGGCTCCTGTCCCATTTTGCTCAGGAGGTGGCAGGCGAAAACCCCCGTCTGGACCCACCTTCGGGAATGGAGACCCCCTGGCTTTTCCCACCGAACATGAACAGAAGAGACCAGACATGGTCAACCTCCCCGGCTCAACCGGTTGCGGGTGTGGAGCGGTTGGTAGGTCAACGACCGACCGACCGACCGACCGACCTATAACCTATCACAGATGTCCCTCCAAATGTGCGACGTAGCTGGGTAACATGCCATGCTTGCGCAAGGATGCGCTCGGATGCACTACCACAGTCTCTCTCCACTTGAAGGTTGAACTCATGTGTGTGTTTTTTTCTTTTTTTTCCGGCCTAGGTGCTCAATTGGATCTTGGTTAGCCACTCCCCTGCCTTTCTTTTTGTCAACTCAGCACGCACCCTTGGACCACGTGACAGCAAGGGACAGCAAGGATGGACCCCGTGCTATATGAAACTCCCAGCAGTCACAAAGGGGTGCGATCCATGGAGGTTAGGGGTGCCCATTATCCACTCACTTGGGGACCAAACACCACCCCTTTGTGACTCCTGGTCCTTAACTCCTCCTTCTTTGGTGTCTCTTCTGGTCCATCCCAAACTCCCACGACATCCCTACCCGACCACTCAACCTCACACAACGTCCAAGCCCCGCAGTGCAGTGCGCAGTGCTCCGTGCTCCGTCCCTTCGCGTAGGCGCGTGCGTAGGCGCCCGCGTGCAGGCGCCCTGCTCTGGTGCAGACGAAGGTGCTGCCAGGAGTTCCTTGACGCCGCTGAGCTTCCCATTGCATTTCCAGTTGCCGCCCACAAACCTTGGCTGTTGCGGAGTGGCCGTTGGGCAGCTTTCACGACCAGGACGGCCGGCCGGAGTTTCTTTCACCAGCACTGGATGAAACGCCGCGGGCGGGGATCAGTTGGATCACCGGGATAACCGCTGTCTTGGCTGGTTAGGTTGGTGATGCTTGGTGTCTCTCTGCTTAGAGGATCTTAGAGGCGACCCTGGACCCGAAGCAACTGCTATACTGCTACTGCCGACTGTCTTCGGTCCAAAACCCTACATTGCATGACCCTCAAAGTACCTCGGACAATGGGTACATGATGGGGGCATGTCCCATGTTCTAAGATACTTGAAGTCGAGTCCAGGTCGTTGTGACCGTTGTCAACGGGTCCAGGTGCCCCGCTCCGCGGTCCGGGTCCTTTCGCGCGGCCCGCTCCGCACCGCAAAACACACGTCCGGCGGCGCCCCAGTTCGGGTCCAGGTACCGACCAGTACTTCGGATGGTCGTTGCCGGAGGTGTTCCGTACGTACGAAACCAGGTCTTTCATGGTCGTTGGTGGGGGGTCCTTCAGGACCTCCGAGCAACGGATGCTCCTGGACGCGTATACGGGAGTCTATGCATCCTTGTCAGCCTAACGACAGGCGTCCGTTGCCCCACATGGATCAGTCCACTTCTTCCCCCAAGGGGGATTGACCATCCATGCACCACTCATGAAAACGCACATGGTGCTGGAACAGGGGTCAATGCAGGCATGCCCGGCATCCATGTTCCATGGATAGTCTGCAATAGATTCCAGTCCAATGGGTGGGAGTGCTACCTAGCCTGCGGTCGTTGTGGGTCAACTCAGTCAAGTTCCCTGGAGGACATGTTGTCCAACTTCAGTTCCCCGTAGGCCCTAGAATTCCAAAAACCATTGGTCTGTACATGTCTTTACCAAACGTGAAGAACCATTGTTTTACTAAGAATTCTACACTACACTACACAACGAGCTCAACCGTTGTAGTGAGCACACTCGCTGCTGTACTCAGGCTCTGGGTTCTACATTCATTGGCCGTCTGGAGGGATCAAAGAATTGCGTCCTGAATTGAGAGGGAATATTTTGTGAGATGTTCTGATGGTCCTCCTCCAAAGTCCCATAGGGTCCAGGTACCTCCTGAGGATGGTCTTGGAGGTGAAAGTACTTCCAGAGAATGGTCTTGGGGGGTCAAAGGACATCCTCAGGATGGTCCTGGACCCTTATAGGGAATGGAACTTAAGGAATCTTGTAACGTGCTCGTCAAAATGCCAATGAACACAGCGGGCCGTTCAACTTTGCAAGTGAATCTATACGTTCTATGCCTAAGCCCAGTGCCGCCACCGTTTTCCAACGATCACCGATCTTGGGGCCCGAAAACACTCAGCGTCCTCATGCACCCTCCGTCCCAAAAAGCGCCCTCTTCATGCCCAAGTCACGGCTTCCTCTTCATGCCGAAGTCCGGGGAACCAATGTTGCGGAAGCCGGTGCCCGCGTAAGAACACCTGTCCACTCCCGCGAGCAGTTGCATGGGGAGGGCGCCCCCCCGCGAGACCTAGACCTTGCCCCTCGTTTCAGGGCGGTGGACGACCCAAATTTTATGATGGATATGTTGGTGCGGCATGGCGTTTCTTTGTGGCGGAATGAAGTTTGGCTTGGTGATGTGTGTTGAGAAACCAAACAAGTATATATAGGTCGGTTTCCTTGATGGTGTCAAACGTTTGACCCCCGGAACATCCCTCATCGGTACTTCCCCCAATGATGAAACTGGACCCTCCCAGCGGCCAGAACTGACTCCCGCAGTTGGGAAAATAGACAAATCAAGCTGTTTGGAGTCCCCAGCTTCTTCAGTTCGTGACCTTTTTGAAGTCCCCAGCCGTGACCTGTGACAGGCCTTTTTGTGACCGAACCAACCAGGATGTCAAGGACGGTCGCGAATTGAAGAACCAGGTCTCCACGCTGTTTGTTTTGAGTGGGGTGTCCTCAATCCCTCCCCAAAAAGGGTGCCAGGGCATCCACTTTTCGCTGGGATGGCTCGGAGAATGCAATCCACCTTGGTGGTGGAACGAAGATTTCAACACCCGTATCCCCTCGCATTCATCCCCCTGGCAGGCTGAAATTCGGTTCTGGAGGAACTCAGTTACGAGTTCTGTGGGCCAATCGTCGATCTTTCCTGTGAGGTTGGATCTGAACATTGGTCGCAAAGTGAAGCTTATGCAATCCCAATTGTCTTCCTCCAGGCGTGATATGTCAAAGTGTCATTTGTGATTGAACACTACGAGTTGAGTAGCAGTTTTCTGATTTCACTGGCAGCTTTTCTGAGGCAATTCTCTGCTAGGCTGCTAGGTGTCTCCCTGAGTTTTGCTGCGCGTCTAAAAACATTTAAAAAAAAACGGGTGCCTTTCGCCCAATTCCTCCTCAATACGCAGGAGCTGGTTGTACTTTGACAACCTGCAAGTCCGCAAGTTCGCCCATCGCGGGCAGTCGTGTGGGAGGAGGTCGATGATCCGCCAGTGGTCCAGTCTGATCGAGTTGACCACTTGCTACTTGCTACCTCTCGCTGCTAAAATGATTGAATCACAAAATCACTTTAAGTGTAACGCTGGATTCCGGTGTCTTGGATTGCAAATACTATGCTGGTTTCCGGAGAACAAACACGTATAACAACTTAAAACCACGGAAAGAGCAAAAGACTGAGGATGACCAAACCTGCGTCTTCAACACAAATATGGCCAAATGTCTTGTGGGGGTCCACCTGTTGTATCTCCTAAATTTATCTCCAAGACCAAACGATTATAGGAAAGTAACGTTGAGAAACCTCAATATATGCTCATATAAATTAGGGAACCTTCTCCGATATGATAGGAAAAAGACATTGAGAACCTCATATTAAATCATATTCCCATATATTCCCCCAACTCCTCCACGTTGGTCACCGCACAAACCCTTACGCCAACGGCCACACCTCTCGGAACGGCAGGGCGCGCCCGTCTTGATCTGCCCCGTGCGCAGTCCCACGACCAGGTCCGCGATGAAGGAGTCCTAACGAGCGGACCGGGGACGGAGGCACCGACGAGCGGAAACGGGGAGCATGTTCAGTTGGTTGAAGTACTGGTTGAAGTCAAACCATAAAGGAGGTGTCCCTTCATTGGTTGGGTCAACAAAAACAGATCCAACAAGATTGGTTGATCTACTCATTGAGTTGCGAGTTTCATGAAAAACACCAAGAGTTTCGATCGGTCTAACAAGACCACGTCTAGACGTGAGTGGATGCAACCATGAAACCTTCTTTCCACTTCTGCGTCGAATGCTGTTACCCGTGACTAGATATGCACCCCTAATTATGAATTGTGCAATTCAGCCGTGATAGCCGGCTCCCATCTCTGCTTCATTGAAAGACTGGCGGACACTTTCAACACGCAGCAGAAAAAGAATTCAGGCCATGGATGGCCCCAGCTGGGTGAGAGCAGCACAAAAATCTGGCAGGTACTGCTTCAATATATATGGGCGTTCGCCAGGAGCCGTCTTCGTTCCGACCAATTGCAGATGTCTTTGGCAATTGACAATAATTGGGTAGTCCAAGCTTTGAGCAAGGTAGCATAATTAGTTGTCAGGTGCTCCGTTGATTAAAGAAAAACATCGAAAACATTAGCATAATAGAGCACCCCCACAAAAAAAACAGGATTCAGAATTCTTTTGGGAAAATGAACATACTAATCAGGATCCAACATTACACCGACATACAAGCCAAAAATGCTTGCCCACAAACATCATGATGCCCCACATTTGTTTTTGCAAGCCGGATTTGTTGCACTGTCGATCGAGGACCATTTTTCATACTGTAGGGAGTGGGGCCACCTGGGTTTTAAACCCTCAACCATGATGATTTTGTTCAATTCAACCACGATCTCCACCTTCACCACCTCTCTGGACTCACCTCTCTGGACTCCAATGCGTCTAGATCTAGACCTCAAATGGCGGGCTACTTGGTCGGATGGATCGCAGGTCCGCCCGGAGTCCGCCCGGCGAGACCAGACAGTTGTGGGAGGCATGCGGTGAGACAACGCGGCCAACCCCATAGGGCAAGAAAGACCTTGTGAAGAAAGAGCACGAACGTGGCGTCCGTCAGTAAGCTGAACGAAAAAAGGAATGGAAAGCATTACCCAGCAGGAGACTGCCCACGCTTACTTGCTCGTCAGTGATCGAACACCGGGCTGAAGAAGGATTTGCAATCAGCGATCCAAGTCTCTGGCGCTTTGACGTGGTTGTGCTTTCGCTTTCCGAATGTACAGCAGGATCGAACTTAAATGTACAGGGGCACTATGGAGGTCTAACGTCGAAGGCTATACTGACCTCAGTCCGAATGTAAAGATTGCTCCTAAACAAAGTATTAAGATAGTAGACCAGGAAGGCCCCTGATCCTCAATAATAAACTTGCTTGAAGGATCCTCAATTGTGCCATTAATTTTCGTCCATGAAAACACTCTATTAATTGTTGATACTACTGAGTACTGAGCCAATGGCTAGATTGATAAATTATTGAAAAGTATAGGTTTCTGCAGTTCTTCTTCAAAACTGACAGCTTCCCAAAGCCACCAATTCCTTAATCAATCCTTTATGTAAAGATTGTTCCTAAACAAATTTAAGATAGTAGACCAGGAAGGCCCCGGATCCTCAATTGTCAATAATATATTTGTCTTGAGGATCCTCAATTGTGCAAAGTGGTTTCCTCAATGAAAACATATATTGATGTTTAATGCTACTAAGCCAATGGCCAGTTTGCAAAGAGAATTGATAAGTATAGGTTTCTGTAGTTTTTCTTCAAAAGTTATAAGTATTGGTTTCTGTAGTTCTTCTTCAAAATTGTCAGTTTCCCAAAGCCACCAATTCCTTAATCAACCCTTTATGTGAAGACTGTTCCTAAACAAAATTTCATGGCAGTAAACCAGGAAGGCCCCTGATCCGCAACAATAAATTTGCTTTAAGGATCCTCAACTGTGCAATATGTATTCCTCAATTGAAATATTTTTATTACTAGCAAGCCAAAGGATTGGCTGCTGAGAATATTGATAAACACATATATAGGTTTTGCTACTTCTTCAAAGCCGCGGAGAACCTGAGAACCTTCTTGGTCCTCTTCTTAGTAGTATAAAACGATCGCTGAGAGAATCTAATTACAAAGAACCTAAGAAAGGAAACTGAAACGACAATCAATTGTATACAAAGGAAACCTCCCAGGAACCCAGATTTGTTTTGGTGCCAAAATGATTTAGAAGATCCACAATTTGTCTAGAGGGCGGACTCCCTTTTATTAAGCACAGGACATCATGAGGGACGACTGTAGGAAATTCGCCCAGCTGCTCACTTTGTGAACGAAAAGACCGCATCACCTTTTCCTTGTGAAGTTCTGCAGGGTGGTCAAGCCCAAGAAACCATGCAGCACTGGCTTGATAGTGTTCCCGGTCGAGCGTGTGCGCAAGGCCGTCGACCGCCTGGTTGTGTGTCAAGCCATGGTCTTGCCACCACTGCGACACGTCACTATACCGCGTAGGCGGGGCTGCAGATACAAGGTCTTCCCAAGTAGAGAACCGCCTATGTAGTCCCAGCGGGGCACTTGCAGCTCGACAGAATGCAGCTGAGCAAGGGCATACAAGGTGCTGACCGTGACACGCTTGTTGAAGTGGTGGCCAAAAGCGCCTTTCCACACTTCAATGCGCTCTTCCTCGCCCTGGTGACGGTAGTTTGTTTTCTTGACAAGGTTCTTCCATCGAATTGGTGTCCTTATAACATACATATTTGCCAAACTGGCCCCAATTGAGATGAGACAAGGGAAATCATGTCCGTTCGGACCAGGGCCCAGAGCATCGTCACCTGAGTGCCAAGTGGCCTAGACATCGCACGCGCGCCTGCGTCAAGACTTGGGGGGTTCGCAAAGAAAGCCTCGTCGCAAAGATTTTCTCCTGCTCCCACCTCCCACGGGCCATATTGCAGCACGGCACACCTCTTGCAGAGGCGGAAAAATCGTGCAAGAGCTTAGCACACTGTCAATTGGCAGTTGGATTCCAGAGAGCAGCATTAAACCAAAAAATAGTATATAGACATCAAAAGGCTCTTCACTATCAATTGGTGTTGCGTATAATGCATATATTTGATAGATTGGACCTATGGTTGTGATGTGTCATGGCATCTTCCTGTTGCCAAAAATCTGAGGTGGGAACTGAACTGTGTCATGATATCATCGGGAAAGCCACCGAACATGGTGGCTTAAGTGTTCGTCACACGTGCTTGCGGTGCTTGAATCCATGTGCCCAGGTGGCGGTATTCGCCCAATGGGTCATAGATAAACTTGGATGATGTATTGATCATATAGAGTCGGCAAGGCACAGCTGTCTCCTCTCTGCAACTATCCTAACATACTTATAACTTATAACTTATAACCTATTATTGTTATAAGTCTCATATCTCCTGTAAGTCACTTAGCTGACTTAGCTTTGAACTAGGTAAGAGTTGCAAAGGTTGTAAATCCTTAGCAAACTTAGGAGAGCTAGCTTTGACTTAGAGCTAAGTCGGCTAAGTTGCCTAAGTCGCCTAAGTTGGCTAAGTCACCTAAGTCGGCTAAGTCGGCCAAGTCGGCTAAGTTGGCTAAGTCAGCTAAGTTGGCAAAGTTGGCTAAGTCTGGCAAGGATAATGCTGCATGCTGACACAAAACATGCAAAAAAATGAATGGACGGCCCAGTCGTGCAGTGCTTGTCCGAGCGCCATAGCCGCGTGCCTTTTATTGATCTCTTTGTTGAGTGCTCTATGTTCTTGACTTTCCAGTTTTCAAATGCGAAACTGTCAGCACAATCTGACAGTGTCAGAAAAAAAATATCTGACAGCTATCTCCTTCCTTCTTAAGGAGTTCACAATCAGAAAGTGTCAGATTTGTCCTGACACAAATATGGTCTAACAATAGTCTGTAGTCAGAAACTATCAAATTTTGTTTCTTTTCTGATGGATATATCAACAGCACCGGTCTGTCCACACCCCTATTAACCCCCCCCACCCCAGGCTTCCACCCCGGGCTTCCACCACCGCCCCGGCCACGCGTGCCGCGTGGTTCCTCCGTCTCACCAGAGCGATGGGAGACCATGACCCCCCAGCCGGCGAACTGCGACATGCTGGCCGCTTCGATGGCCTCCGCCGACACGAGACCAGATGGACCGCGGTTTGGGCGCGCTGGATGTGGTTGAGAGGACGGACGTGAAGGGTGGAGAGTTGCAAAGGAGATAGGGCTCGACTCGGCTCAGATGTAGAGGGATCACTGGTTTGGACCCGAAAAAAACAGGTCACTGGATGAAGAAACTGATGTATTTTTATATTCACATGACAAATGGATGGTCTGCAGTCTACACAGTGAGTGAAACAAAAGGGTGCTGATGTAGCCCTGGCCCTGGAAGAATCCCTCCAATGAGTGGCAAGTTGCTCGTGAACTCCATAAGCTGTAACCGCCAGCCCGGCAGAGTGGAGGGTTTAGAGGAACACAGAGTGTTTTCGGGACCTCATCCCATAAATTTCAGGTCTACCGTCACAGCCTCTCGATGTTATTCCATAGGTGGGTTGGATGGTGCACAAAACAAAGAAATTATAATGATCTAGCATCATCTATGTTCTTGTGAAACGTGTAGTTTCATGGACTGGTGGATGCTGTCTATTACCCTACACCGACTTCGTCGTACCTCCTCAGGTTCGGTATGACTGGACCCGACCAGGGCACCCACCCACCCCGGTCGTCCCACCGAACCGAAGCGGTTCGGTACGACTGGAGGCATTAGGGTTAATAATCCACAAACCAAACGCCAAGAAATGCCAAGATCCAAGAAGCACTTCCTGAAAGCTTGCCCAACTCTCCAGTCCGCAGTCCGACTCTCCAGTCCGTCCGGTGGTCGTTCTGCTGCTTGAACTGGTGTTGGACTGTTGACCTGGTCGCAGTTGCAGGTCTCCCAGGACCAAGAGAATGCCACAAAAAGTGTGTCCCAACTGTATACCAGGACCCTCAAGGGGTGGTCTAAACAGACACCCCGAATCACAGCTTTTCGGGGCTATAGACACCCCTTGCATGGAGGGTTCTGGTATGTCTGCGCCGTCTGGGACCATCCAGTCGTCTGCGCCGCCGCGGCTGCCACTCTCGGCCTCCGTCACGGAGCCAATCTGATTCACCTCGCGACCGGCGCTGTTCCCCACACCGGACGACGGAGGGCTCGGGGTTGGGTCAGGAAGTATGTAGAGCTGGCTCGACACTTGGTTCAAGCACGAAGAGGACAATGGGTACAACAAGGTACATGGGTGCAAGGACCTGTTTTCTTAGGGTCAGGGTTCCTTTTTCCAGGGTACATGCAGTCAGGTCCAGGTTGGAGGCGAAGGGTGTCCAAAAGTGCAAGGTTGGAGGATGGCACCACTACCGGACCTTATGGGTCTGATCTCATGGCCACGACTAAGAACTTCCGGAGGTTCTGTGAAAATGATAGTTGAAATCCGGTTGAACTATGTTGAACTCATTTTCACGTGCACACAGTATGCCCTATGGATCCACTGGCACCGTACCTCAGGTGACCCTCCTGGCGCCATAAATCGTGTCCAATGACCGTAAGAAGGTGCCAGTGGATCCATAGGGTATGTCATGCTTTCATGTTGTTAAAACAGGTTGCTTAAGGTGTCATTTAGGGACTGGTTCATGCAGCATGATGCAGCACAGGCCACAGTGAGCCGTATACAAGTGACCATTCCTTGATACTATCATACGTATTGCCATGTATTGCCAATCCATTGCTACGTATGTTTAAACTCTGCAATACGTGTGTTGTCAGCGTTCCGTGTGCCCATGCGATCTCCAAATTCGGTGCTTTCTTGCGTTCCAAAGATTGGGGTGGGAGGATTTGCTACCATGGTGGGCACTGCTGAATGTATGAAGGGTGGGTGGCTGAACGCAAGGGTGGGTGGCCACTGCACTGTGTGACGTAGGACGTGCTCTTAAAGATGAGAACCCTGTGGCAGGATGGAAGAATTTGCTTCTTGAAAGTGAAGTAGGAGTGTGTACAACCCTCGGACTCAAACTATTATTACTCAAGTAACAACATTGGGAGTTGTTGTTTGAATCACATTGCCACCAAAGAAATGCCAAACACAGTAACGAAAATGAATCAAGCTTTGCTGCTCTTTCCACACCATTTGTGTGCAACAAAGTTAACCAGCCATTGTCCCAACTGCTGCTGGTTGCCAACTTGCCTGCTACTACCTTAAATGCCTACCCATTCCCCGCTCCAACCTCTTCCCTGCTAGTTGGCTTCTCTGAGGTGCACAAGTCGTTAGTTCTAAGACTCTTGATTCATATTGATCGGATCCAGCAGCAAGGCCTTCAGCAGCAAGGCATTGCAAGCCTTCACGGACAAGGCCTTCTCCACCTTGGTGTGCCGCACGAAGCTGTGCCGCGCGTGGATTGGCAGAGGGCTCGCAGAACTCGTCTTTTTGGGGGGTTTAAGAAGGGTTAGGTGTCCGAATTGTACCTCCCTTGGCCAGGAGATGGTGGAAGGGAAGCAGGGGGAGCCCTGCTTTCACCCACTCCTTGGCACAGCCTGTTTATGATGCAAATAGTGATCATCAAGGTATCATGCTCCTCCTTATCATCAGGCATGCCTTCCACAACCTAATATACCTGGACTCTCCAAAGACAAATCAAAATGGGACATGACATGACCCCATAAAAAAGACAGGTACGACTTACCTTCCCTCTTGCACACAGCTGTCACAGCTTCCGGAAGATTCCTCCGACTTCGCCTTGTGCCAGGACTAACAAGAAGCTACTAAGGGCATCGCCATTAGGAGCAAGGACGTCGCTAGTAGCTCCTGGCCTTACTACTAGGAACAAGAAGCTGCTAGTAGCGAGGACGCTACTAGGGTGGAGCTACAGCTATATTTGCCAATATGGACAAACCTTCCCATCCAGATCCGAACCGCCGAACCCTCCGGAAGCGATGAGAGCCGAGCTATACCCTGCAAACGAATCAATGGGACCGTTCAAATGGACCTGATTCAGACGATTCTCATCTACCACCCAGTGGTTTTCATCCGATCTGGGGAGACGAATCATCCATCTCCGCCACCTCCTGCCGTCTCCACGGTCTCCACCGGTCTCCTTCAGTCCGTCGCCGTCCGCCAGTCCTGTGCGAGCCACTCGCTTGGGATTCGTGACCAACAAATCATCGCCTCAGCACGGGGCAAACGACACAGACGTCTGCGACGTCTGCAGACCAAGTGACACCCGGTGTTTTGGGTACGTTTAGCATGGGAAACGCGGCGAACACAAAGGGCCCCACGCACCTGTTGGAATCAGCTGATTGCAGCTTGAAGGGTCTACTTTCGAGCGATCCCTTCCGCAAAAGCCAGCGGTATCGAACTTCCTCCCCTGCCAGACGCTCCGGACCCTGGGCAGAAAAAAAGACGAAACACCTGGTGCAGCGTTCGAGGCAAAAACAGGTGGAGTCAGGGTGCCATGCTCAAGGGAGTCGACCTGGACCTCGTACCTCGATTTTCCCCAGTCGTACCTGTTTTGTAAGGGGCTCATGTCACGTCCCATGTTCTATACCTTAACGTCCGGTCAGTCGAGTCCTTCGATTTCGGGAGTTTTGTCGGAGTGTGACCTCTCCCTAGACACCGACCCGTTTTCGTACCTCCTCAGGTTCGGTAGGACCTGGCACCCCGGGCCGTCGTCCCACCTTCACCGAACCGAAGTTCGGTTCGGAGGCCGGTACGAAAACGGAGGCCTATAGGGTATCTTTTGATCCAAAGACCCAAAAACATATCAAATGGTTGAACGGAATGCACCAAACACCCCGTGGGACTGGCATATGATACATGACTCCAAATCAATTCAGGGGTCAACCATGGTCAACCTATCTTCCTGCCCCATGAAGTGCAGCTTCTGCCACAGTCCTACCCTAACAACTGCTGCCGAGACACCCACAATCCTGAGTGAACGAGATTCGTTTCGAAACGATCTCATGCCCCGTTCGGGCTCCAAACGTCCTTCGATTCCATTTCCTAAGAAGGTGGTTAGACCATCTTAGACTCACAAACCCACTCAACCACCTTCAAAACGGAGGTACTATCTGATTTGAAGTGGGAACGGAGCCCATCATTCATCATCCATCACTTCTCCCACCAATTTTAAATGAATGTACGGACGGAGCCCCGAAACAAGTGACATGTGTTTCTTGTTTTTGCAGTGCCAGCCACTTCCTATTCTAAAGGATTTCAAAAAAGCCTAAAAAAGCCATAGGTTCCAAGTAGAACTGTTTCTACTTGGGCCTGGGTTGTTTCTATTTATACTAAATACATGTATACAGATCTCTTGGGATCCATGATCCACCGCCCACTTCCCGGACCGACCCTTCCAGTTCCGGCGATCGTCCTCCAGAAGCAGACATGTCTGTCCGGGCTTTTGGACGATCTGTGGCTCCACAATCACACTAGGCCAACGAATTTCCCGATCATGAGCCATTATAATTAGACCTCATAAACCCACACTCCCGAAAACTAATGTGTTGACCCTGACAATGGCCCCTGAAAGACTGTTTTCCTCTACCAACCAATGGTTTTCAGGGTCCATGTTAGTTTTCCACGGGGCAACTCTTATATCCTTCATGCATCCTTCCCTCTCTGCCTTTCCCTAAGACCAAATCGCCTGACTCAAACCTCTTCTCCTCTCCCTTGTCACCCACACCAAGCGTGTTTTCCACGAAAACCGCTCGCTCTCGCCCTCTCGCCACCGAGCTCTCTCGCTCTCTGCCGGATACAGCGCGCTGTAACCCAGCGTCTGGACCTGATCACCAACTTCTGCTTGGAACTTGGAGTAAGCATCCCAATCATCCTGGGCCACGGGCGATGCATGTGCGATGGATGCCATGGCATATTCACATCCTCGCCGCCACTGGGCGGTGTATCCATCACGGCGATGGATTCACATCGTGTGATGTTGAAGCCGACTGATTTGCACGAGACAACATCACGTACTTCAAGCTGCTGCAAAAAAGTGGACAAACAATGAAAAACATGGGTACAGTTCTCTTTCAGCGAGGACTGGTGCACATCCAGCCTGGTCAAAGGGATCCTCAATGGAGACGAAGGGGTACTTGCTGATCCAGTCCTTCAGCGCTCTACCGCTGCTTCACGCCCACGCCTACTGCGCTCTTCAGAGCAACCACGCTTCAAAAACCACTTGAAGCGCTGGGTGCTGCCCACAGCTCACACAAATTTTGGGGTAGTTGGGGATGTTTCTCTGACAAGGACCAAGTCCCTTACACTGCCTGAAAGAATCATGGAAGTGGATGGCCCCTTGGATGACGATGTTCTTCTACAAACAGGTGCTGAACTCCTATTCCATGATGAATTCCTCGAGGCATTAAATGAAGTCTTACCTCTGGACACTGGAAAGTACCAAAATCGGCACCCATCGGTACCCAAACGACCTGTTTTCGGACATGTTCCGAGAGATTCCCCGGACCGGGACATGTTTTCCAGTGTTCGAGTCCCAGTTGTGAACTTAGTCAACTCATGAGCCCACCTTACCAATAGTAGGGGTCTAGGTTGTTCCCTCCTGATGGTCGTTACCGGAACTTGTCGTACATACGAAACCAGGTCTTTCATGGTCGTTGCCTGGAGCTTTGGACCTCCGAGCAACGGAATGCTCCTGGACCCCCCAGCTGGGCTTGGCTGTGCCTGCGCCCCAGACATGCGCCGACTACGGGCTGTCCAAATGGTCAACCTGGGTCGGTGAACACCTGCACATGTAGCTGAACATCGGGGTCCTTGTAGTAGGCGATCATCTCATCAGCAGTCTTCTTCATGCTGTCTGGGCCTTGTAGAGCGCAAGTGTGCAACTTGCATCATACTCCAATTTGTCCCATAGGGTTGGCCTGTCAGGTGGACACTAGCCCCAGCCAAAACCAGCCCTACATAGCCCAGCTTCACCCGAATGGAGGGGGCGGTCTGGAGCGAAGGTGGACGTCTGCTCTTCAACCGAAAGGTGGTAGAACAATGTTCGAACATATAAGGCAGTTCATAAAGCTCCCATCCAATTCGTAGAGTCATGGACCAAGAACTTGGGGGGGAGTGAATTCTCTGGGCACTGCCGGGTTTTGATCCCGAGGGGGGGTTGGTGCGTCGCGTCGGAAGGCACCCCCAAAGGGTTGGAAGACTGGAACGATCCGTCCGGTTGAAGGTTATCCACTGTAAAACCGCCGTAGCTCAGAGGGTGGATCCATAGAGGGTGAATAGTTCGAACATCCTTTCATCTTTCATACACCTGTTGCCCTACAAGTTGTGACCTGAGGGGCCTGCCGGCCTGGAGAGATTGATTTGAAGACCGATCACGTCGCACAAGAACAAACACTTCATGATACTTCATCGTGTGAAACCCTAGGCCTGACCGGAAACACAAATAGAACGCTATACAGTTTGGGTCCCACCGCAAACATCAAGTACAAACACAACATCCGGCCTCCTCCACTGGGTGCCTCCAAGCACATCCCCATCCTTCTGCACAATAAGCCGCCCAAAGTCGTCTGGCTCCCGAGCCAGTTCCCTGGAATAAGGTTAAAATAGGTTAAACCTTTGTCCACCTGTTCTTGTCTCTCCAATCCCCCTAGCCCAAGAGGCTCTTGCAGAATAAAGCTTAACCCTCCGCGCCAAAAAAGGTGGTCGGCTCCCTCCGTCTCCCACCTCCGCCATTCGGCCTCCAGTCCTCCCAGATCCCCGGAAAGCGCCCCGTTCTCCCAGCCCACTCGTTCTCCCAGCCCTCCCACTGACTCAGTGCTCCCCACTGCTGGGGTTCTTGAAGTCCAAGTCATATTTCTTGGTCTCAGCGCCTCAGATCCGGTCGATCGGGTCCACCGGTGAGTTCCCGTGGTGAAACCACCAAGATCGAGGACCCCCCCGGGCCTAGGGGGCGCCTTTTATTATAGGAGTCCTGGGGGGCGCCCATGATTCCCATGAACTCACCTGGCTGGGTCCAGGTGAGCCATAGTAACCCACAGCCGCTTCCAGTGCATCCAGCCTCCACTACACCAGGAAACCACATGTTGCAACAGATATTATCAATACTCAACGCCGACCAAGTCAGCGCATAATCCCAAGTTTTAGGGAACACCACCCATGTCATCCCACTTCCCTACCATAACCATGATATGGATTAAAGATGATGTTTCAGCTTCACCTTAATTCTTCAACCTCTTCGCGTCCTTCGCGTGCTCCTTCTCCGTGCTCCGTGGTTCGCGACCAACGGATCTCACCGAGCCGCTGTAGAACTCCGAAGCGGCCACGTCGGTACCGATCTTCACCTGGCCAGACCGTGACGGGTCACCGACGTACTAACCGTCTCGGCTCTTACGTCGAACCGCGTACTGAACCGCGCGCTTCCTTCGGTGGTGAAGGTGGGACGAGTCCTGGGGGCCGGTGACGTGCCAGCCGGTCGGGTCCAGCCATACCGTACCATTTCGGAGGTACGACGAAGTCGGTGTATAGGGAAAGGAAGGAAACCCTCCCCCCTACACCCCAAAACCGCCCCGCAGGAGTCCTAGTGAGGACTGGAAGAATCTCTGCCGCCCAGCTTGCTCGAGCTCGGCCGAACTCCGGCGCCCAACTGATCGGAAGATCTGTCAGACGCAGGATGGGTGGTATCTGGATGCTCCAAAAGGCACGATGCCGACCTGTCTGCTCAAGGTGGCTTGATGCCGCCGGGGGGCGCGCCTGATGATACTTGCACTCACGTCACTCCCTAGGTTTCCTTCGGAACAACGGCCCATGACTACTCCGGACCCCGTCGAGTCCAACGGTCCACAGGATGCGAATCCATCTGCAGCAAAACTTGGTCGCTGGATGCTCCTGAAATCCAAAAAAGAATTGTATAAATCTTGATGGCGTTTTGCATGATCGCCAACCCAGGGCATCCAGGCAAACCACTATAGTTTGCTGGGAGTACCAGTGGTTCCAGTTTGACTGAAACTTTAGTCATGAGTCTTTATACAGTGGCTGCCTAGGATCCTCTGGGCACCCTCTTGATCCTATAGGATCCCTTGATGCTCCAGGTTCTTCCAATGCGATCCATTTTTTGAGATCGATCCATACGATGTTCCAATTTATATTATGATGTAACCCCCCCAAAGAGTGGACAATCTTGAAAACAACAGAAGCAAATCCATCATCATCCATCCATATAATGATCCCTCTATGATCCCTAGTGCTCCCTGAAAACCGCGGTGTTCTCCATTTCTCTTGCGCCAATGCTCGGCCTTTGCGGCATGGCCGGACTTCTCTATCGCCTCCATCAGCACATCCAAGGCCTCCCAGATCCGCCGCGCCGGAGGTTTCGGCGAACGAACTCGAGCCCCGAAGGAGTCGCGCTCGTCCCCTCGGAGTCGCGGCGCCGCGAAGCAAACAGTGCTTGCCATTGACACCTCCGTGTTCGTCGGCCGAAGGGGTCAATGAAATCCGTGGTTTTTTCTTTGACCTAAAGACTTTGGATCGGACTAGGTCGACGATTTTTTAAGTGATTTTGGAAGGCTATGCTGGTTTCAACCTGCAGGATTCGTCAGGATTCGTACAGGCAGCCAGTCACTCTCTTTGTTTAAAATATGGTGAACTTTAGGGGAACCTTGTCACACCTTTGAAGCCTCCGTAACAAAAAGGATGCATAAATCAACATGTCATGACTGTTGGATTTGCTTTAAGAATATAGTTGTTAAAAACAAAAAAACACACACATACATCCAAATAGCATCAAATCACCCTTTGGCAAAACCAGGTCAAGGATTTGGACACATTTGCTGGTGTAAACTGTACACACGTCTCTGGCCTGACCAAAACTGCACCCACATGTCTCTCGGACAGAATCACTGGTTCAGAACCAGGAGAAACCTTGGAACGTTGGGACGAAGATGAGGTGCAACCAAACAACCCACCTCCGACCCTCTGGGGGCGCCGGGCAGTTGGGCGACGCACCGACGGACCGATCCGTCGTCCGTCGTCCGGCCTCGTTGTTGTCTTGGACGCTCGGGGCGAAGCCTCGTCGGTCGGACCGAACCGAAGCGGTTCGCGGTTCGGGACCGAAAACGGGTCGGTGTAGGGAAAGGGATCCGTTTTCGTACCGAACCGAAGCGGTTGGGTACTTCTGGGACCGGAGATGCAAAACACATCCAAAAATCAGCTGGTGCTCATCAATTCAGCACGGGCTGTTTGCTGCTTGCAAAACACACTGAGGGCAACGCCGCCCTCGTCGCCCACGTTGCATGCGTCCTCGCACAAACATCAAGAGCTGCAAGGTGATGCGCCTATATATATATATATATACCAAGTAGAGGTGACCCACCGAAAGGACAAAAGGGGTCCTGACAAACGAGCAATGCTAAGGTCTAAGGTTGCTACAGCAGCAACAGGCGCTTTCTAATCAGTGATCAAAATTGCACTTCAATTCGCCTGGATACACAAGGTCGTGCTGGTAGAGGATTTACAATCACCCCAAGCTTCTAAAACAGGCAGATGTCAGAGTCTGACTGCCTCAGTTTCCCGTACCGAGCACAGACACACACACACACACACTGCTTGTCTTTAGTAGGGGAAACCAATCCCCAAAAAGGTTTTGCGGGTTATCCACTTTTCCTGGGTAGGGATGTTCTCACCTGATTCACACCAGCTACCAAGCCCACATACACCACATGAGAGAACCTTGCCGGATCGTCCTGGCCGTACTTCTTCTTAATGACGCTCTTCAAGTTGTGATAGACCTTCACCAGCCCGGCACCCCCGGCCAAATCGTGACATTGTCACTTTGAAGCATTGCGGCGATCTAGACCCCTTGCATGTAATGTGGCAAAGGATGTGAGTTGTTCAAGGGTGGTTTTGTTTTTGTTGCCGACCCTATCATTCTTGAAGGTTTCAGATGATTTTGGGAATCAGCACTCGTATCGTTTGCCAAGCTGACAACAACTGCAAAAATCCAGCTGTTTTGAGGCAACAAAAAACTTGCAACGTCTGAGGAAGCCCAAATATATACCTGCAACCTCGTGGTTGTGTTTTTTGGTCGGTGGTTCAAAATTTAGGTCTGTGAACCACATAAACATCCGCAACAAAAAAAACATCCGCTTAAAAAAAAAACATCGGGAAACAAACGCCTTTGGTAATAAGCACCCTTAGCTTGTGTATAAACGCCGGTGGAATATTTAAAACAATCAGAAAACTAGAGAAACATCCACAGACTCAAATATGAGGCTGTGACTCCAAAGATGTGTTCACGCCGCAGAAAGAAAAATAGAACTCTGAGGAAGTTGCAGGTATATCGTCATACTTATTTTTAATATATATCAAACGATACATCCTTAAATCAATGATATATATATATATCAAGGAGAAATGGACACTGCATAATGGAAAGAACTTGGGAAAAGGTCTGCAGTGATAAACTCATGGAAACACATGGCAGAATTAGTGATGCATGCAAACATGGGATGGTATTGTTGTTTGTTCCCGACCCTATCGCTCTTGAGGTTATCCTTACCATTAAGAGTAGCAGGTTAAGACATGTTAAAGCATGATGTCTAGCATCCTTTAAGGTCTTTAAGCTACATACGAACAGTTTTGAATAGGTGCTCATGTGGAGTTTCCATGGCTTACAATAGCTTACTCGCTTGGGCTCCAGTCCTGCACAAGGAAACAGACCTCCGCACCCAGGCACTCACAATCGGAATTTTCAAGAAGACACCGATCTTTCTCGGCCACAAATCCAAGGCCCCATGGATTTCTGACGAAGCGTTTGACAACGGTGAATCCCCAAACATCCTTGTTTTTCCCTAAGGGTCCAGGACCATCCTGAGGATGGTCTTGGAGGTGAAAGTACTTCCATCCATGGTCTTTGGGGCCAAAGGACATCCGATTCGGATGGTCCTGGACCCTTATAGGGTTTGGAACTTGACAGCACCTCCAGATCTGTCCCGACTGCCTGAACCAAGGCTTCACCGGAAAGGATCACGGTTTCATCGTCTCCTCCGCCTGGATGGCGCCACACCGGTCTCGCCTCGGCGCCGATGCACATGGCTTCGCGGAAGGAGGCGGCGCCCACCGGCAGGATCATGAACTCCTAAAGAGCGGGTGGACAGTGACGCGACCGCGGTGCACGGCGGGTAGTAAAAGGGACATGCATTGTTGTTGGGAAAAGTTTAAGTGACAAAGAAGCATCGAGGCGGCGTGCTAAAATCCAGGTGTTTACCGATTTGGATCTTGGAATGGACTGATAGGAACTTGATGGACTCAGATCCTAAGTGGCCACAACTGGATATTTTGGTGTTGTTGTGTCTGTCAACAATCACAGGGGCTCGACTGGTCCAGCGCTTGAAGCTGGTACGGGGAACTAGACGTTGCCACCCCAGTTGATGCCCGGATCTCAAGAGCACCGCGATGGCGACTCGATGCCTCGATGCTCGCCGATCTGATCGGATCCCAGGTCCTGGTGGGCGATCCTTTGTATGTCAAGTATATATACCTGCTACCCTGCATACCAAAAGACAACAATTAGCGACATGGACAACAAGCAGGTGGTTATAAGGTTTAGCAGGTAGTTGTTTCCAACGTGGACAACGCCTTCCCATCCAGCCAAAGTAGGGCGACGAACCCGAAGCTGCCACATGCTGCTTTTCGGTCCACTCCGGTTTCCAACATCGCTGTGAAGCGCGAGAAGAAACCCAACCGGGAGGGCAGTCAGATGAGTCGAGCAGAGTCCGGTGCTGTGGGAGGGGGCGAACGAAGAGGATCAGCCTCCGACTCCGACTCGACCGGCGGTGCCTGGCAGGCCAAGCGATTTCCTGCGTGGCTGCCGCCGTTGATCACCTCGGCGCCGACGGCCCGGGGAGACGGACTTCGGCATGGAAGGGGAGATGGCGACTTCCCCTACACCGACTTCGTCGTACCTCCTCAGGTTCGGTATGGGAGCCTTCTGGCACCCGGGCCCCGGTCGTCCCACCTTCGCAGAAGGCGGATGCCTAGGGTTCATGGGACACCAATTCACGGGACGCGATGCATCGCGATGCGGAATGGCTGGCGGAATGAATCGAAGTTGCACCGTGCCAGTCTCAGGTGATGATGGCAGGGTAGTCTCAACCGGCGGAAAAAAAAACATCGATGGCATGGCAGTCCGTTGAAAAAAACAAACATGTTGAAAAGGTCCAAAAGGTGAGGCAGGGATGGTACACCTTCTCGATTTCACGAAAACGGCAGATTTGACACATGACGGAGACCAGTCGACGTCTAGTCTTTCCACTGCAGCCTCTGTCGCATCGCAGCCTCACACTCAGGTGACGTCTGGTGGGTGTTGTTCCAAGTTCCAAGGTCCCGGACGTTGAAGGAGGGCACAGGCATCACGAAGTTGTCATAGGGCTTTCCAGAGATCCTGAAGCTCAAAGGAGACCAGGTGAGACCTAGACTTCTAGTATCAGCATCTGATTGCACTGAATCCACGTAGTTGTTTGCTTCTGAATTGCCCGTATACTTTCAATCAAATCTCAACTATGGTTCTTCCTGTCTTCCCCCCTGAATCTATGTGGCAATTATAATCCCATATAACCTATATATCTTCGCCACAACAAGTGCACCTCAACGCATGCATCAAGTCGACTTGCAGTCGCTCCATCCGCCCACGTCCGTTCGAAAGGTCGTCCCGTCCGCCATGCGCCCAACGCCTGCAACGCGTCGAACGGACCGCAGTCCTAGCGATATATTTGTAAAGTGGCATCCGACTGGCGGCAGCTCCTGTCGCCGATGTCGGCTCTGAGGTTTTGGGACAAATACCCTGCTTCTTTATGACCTGACCTTGGAGTCCCTAACAGGTCTGTTTGAGGATCAAGTGTCACTTGGAACCAGGTGGCTGTGCTTGGCAACATGTCTGGAAAAGGACATGACCTCTTCATGCGCAAAGGAGTTTTTGTCAGGGCTCCACACACCTACTTGTCAACGGTGTTGAGGATAGGTTTGGAACAGTTTGGAGGATCCAAGTCTTGGGAGCCCCTTTTTGTGGGGAGTCGTGTATATTGTTTGTTTATTTGTTCCGAATGCTTATGGACCGGTCACGTTGTTTGGTCGTCACGAGACACCCGATGTGACCTGGCTGCCAGGTGTGTTTGGTTTCCCTGGGATTGGAATCACTAGATTGATTAGTGGTCTGAGTCTGAATCCCGATCAACCAGTGTTTTACTACGGGCTTTATACAAAACCCGGTCGTTCCCATTTCTGAAATGGTTTGGAATGGATTTTGTTGAGTTTTCTTTGTATTTGGTGCAGTGTCCCACAGCATTCATGCACGTATACAGAGAGGTGTCCGGTCATTGTTTCTCTCACAAAGATCTGTATTGCGATCAGGCGAAACAGCCAACGACCTCCACCGGTTCTGACCTTTTCATCCACCGGTTTGAAGTCACTTAAGCCTCCAAAGGGTCACTTGATAGGGACAAAGGGTCAAGAGGTCTGCAAGAAGGTCACTGTCTGCACCCAGCTTTGGCAGCTTTGAATAAACTGTCCTAGTCTCATCTAAGCCGTCAAACAATGACTATAGCCCTAGCTCTAGTTGATGAGCAAAAGCAAAAGCAACTTTACGTCTGACTCTCTCAGTTTCGCAAGCTTAACCCAAACTTCCCTCTCTGTTGTGGTCCCTCGCATGTTGCGGCGTCCCAAATCCCCCTCCACCACTCTGCACTGCGGTTTGTCGGGTTTTGTCATCGTGCCATATCTCGTCCTGGCGATGAACTACACCCAGGGAAGATGAAGATTTGGAACCTGAAAAACCATTGACAACATCTGTGAAACATCTCTGACCCAGCAAGGAAAACAATAGGAAAACACTACAGTTCCTCTATACTAACCCCTTCATTTTGGAGTTCCACGATGTGGGTGTGTAGCTCAAATAGGACCGGCCATGAAGCTTCGGGACATCGACCAGTCTACCGAGAAAGGGCCACGGGGTCTCCCCGTCTCCTGCGCGGCAAACGGCCATGGAGACTGCCTAGAGCTGAAACAGGGCACAGGATCGAGGTGGCAAAGGAAAGGCTAAGTTCCAAGCCCTACCAGCCCTGCAAAGAAGAGAATTGGGATGAATCTCGCAGCATGTCGAGATGGGCATGCTAAGCATTTGCTGAAGAAAGGAACCGGAAAAAACAAATGATTCCTCATAGACACATCAAAAATCACACCATCCGATCCCGCTAAATTTGCAAGGTGAACACCATCAGCAGGCGTCATGTGACAAAGCCTCGTGCAACCCCCACTTGAAGAAGATTGAAAAAGGGTGTGTGGAGGCGCAGCGGCATTTTCTGCGCACCATACACTGTCAACGTGTTTTCTTTCAAGCAAGGTCGGTGGATTCCTCTTTGCAACTGAGTGGTCACCCAGTGACCTGGATCCCAGATGGCATCCCAGACCTAGCCCCCTGCCGACCAAGGGACCAAGATGGCATTGGCACCCAACTTGGCCTTGGACCAGCCCCACTCATTCTGAGAGCCATCCTTGGTACACAGAGTGTCAGCTTCGGCTTGAGGGTAGAACTGGCGAGACGAGGCGACAGAAGTTGATGGCATTGATGGCACCTTCCAATGCTTCAGCTTCAGCACGGCACCAGCTTCAGCTTGCTCTTTGTCTATCCATCCTTGCCGTTTGCTCCTCAACAAGAGTGTTCCCCTCAACAAGTTCTGCGTGCTATCGGACATCTTGGAGCAAACACTGAGAAACAACACACAGCTGGCTGTGGCTCACACAACAGAACCTCAGGACCCACACAGCTAACCAAGGTCTAACCAAAGGTGTTTCGACGGCACCCATGTTTTTGAGCGGCCGCAGGTCAACACTCAAAATCCTGCAGTTCACGTGGGAGAGGCTGGCAGCTGCCGCTTCTTGAGGATTCCATTTCGGCTTCCAAATGCCTACATTGACCCCCCAACAACCACCCACGGTAAAAAGATGTTAGTAAATATATACATTGGTCTGGGAGGCATTGATGGATCCAGCATGATCCAGCCTCTTTCATTGAAAAGCCCCTGAAAAGTACTCTTTTCTGCCCCCCTCCCTGAACAACTCCGCATCGCTTCCGACTCTGCTTGGAGGCTAGGCATGCATACAGCACAGACCTTCTAATCCAAAAGGCTCCTTTGGGGCGAAATCTCGGAGAAAACACCGCCCAAGGCCCCGGAACGCACGCGTCGTTCGCTCGGAAACGGGACATCCTTCTCGTCGAGGTGCCAGCGTCTCCACCATGAGTTTGTCGATCTCCGTCTGTTTCGTCACCTGGTCTCACGTCCGCTCCACCGGGGGGACGGTGGTTTTGGCCGTTCCGTCCTGCCGCGTTCCTCCCGAAATGGTCGAGCGCCAGCGCGCACCCAAACACCAGCCTTTTGCGCGCCAAAGAGATTTAAAGAAGAAGTTTCTGTTCAGAACCCATACACTCCATGTATGGCATATATGCCTACATTGACCCCTCAAACCACCCCAATGTAGGCATGTATGGCAGTCCCATGGAGCGTCTGGTTTTTTTTCGGACTTTTTCATGCAGGTCCCATCGATGGCGCAGGAGGTTCGGATAGAGATCTTCCTGGTTCGCAGGAGCTTGTGACCTTCTTGGATCCGTTCGGTCCACAGTCATGGGCCGGCTTTTACAGGTCACCAACAGAAACACCAAAGAGGTCGCGAACTGAGGATGAGTCGGATCCAGGTTAAATGCAGGTTAAATGGTTTGCGTTAAGAAGCTTTTGTTGAACATACAAACTCTTCATCTTCTATCTTCGGCATCTCCACTGCGAACACATTGGCGTCCATCTTCGCTTCAGGTCGATGCTTCAAGTCGCCGCCCATCCCCCTCTAGCACCTCCATGCCAATCAGCTTTGGCGCGATGATCTCGTTGACGTTGGCCACCGCCTCTGCGAGGGCTTGTTGGGCGACCAAAAACTCGTTCATATGGCGCCATGTTCCTGGTTCTTCAAAGTGACCGTACTTGATAACCTGGTTTGAGGTCACTTAAGTCTCCCAAGTGTCACTTAGGAACCTTCAAAAGGTCACTTTGAAGAAGCTGGTTCTTACGTGTTCTTACTGAATTTTTGTATATAATCGGAGTCATATCATTGACCTACATGGAGCATTTGGGAAGGACACTCTAAGAATCCATAGCCACCACCCTCTTCGAAGGAAGGAACCCATATGAACAAAGCCCTGATCCCGGTCACTCACCACGGCCACCAGTTGATGAGGAGTCGGCTATGACAAACTTGAGGGTGGGAGACGGTGGGAGACACTGCAATTCACTGGAGTGTCCTTTTCCTAACCATCCAGGTATATGGAATATTACATTGGGGTGACTGTTTAAATCTTATTTATATGATGTTTTTAAGGGTCAACGTACCAGGAGTCACATGTCGGGGTGATTTTAAGACCCATCCAATGAGTGGATGTGACAAGGGCATCCACTTGACTTGGGCATCCCTATCCAAGCACCCCTTTGGAACTGCTGGTATACAATCCATGACCATAATCCTTGGGCTTTTGTACCCCTACGAAGCCATCGATGGCCCTCGGCATCACGCCGAAACGTTCGCGCAGTCTCTGCCCGGCCTTTTGAACGCCCTTGCCCAGCAGTCGCTTGTCTCCATCGCGCAACTCTAAGGCCTCATAAATTCCTGCAAGATGCAATGGCCATTGGTTGCCGGGGTGGGATGGTGCCAGGTTGGGGAAGAAAACAGTACCTCGAATCTGACCCAGTACCTGAGAACATGGGACATAGGGGTGTCCAATGAACTTCCCCACACTACCGGCCGTTCGGCTTCCAGACAGGGCACCCCGAGGGTCGGAGGGTCCTGGTATACACACCGATGTTCTAAAGAACTTTGAGACTTTGAGACTCCAGGTAGTGGTATCCTCATCTGGCGTCGATGGATCGGAACAACATGGGATCGGAGCATCGAAGAAAAACCATGCGACTGGGACTGGAATAGTTACTTCATGTCCCGAACACTCCATGAAACTGCCGTATCATATGCCCATAGGGTCCAGGTACCTCCTGAGGATGGTCTTGGACGTGAAAGTACTTCCCGAGAATGGTCGAACGGGGGGTCAAAGGACATCCGATTTGGATGGTCCTGGACCCTTAGGGATGCCATATACATTGACCCCTCCAACCACCCCTGGCCTGATCCGCATGGCAGTCCCATGGAGTGTTTGGGTGTTACTTCCATTGGAGTCACATGTCGCTCGGAGTGCTGTTGGGTCCCATCCGCCGTTTTCGGTGACCAGTTCGATCGCACCCAACTCCTACCTCCATGGATCGCTCGCTCGACACCCCGCGCTCAGTGACTGCTGGTCGTGTCATTTTGGGTAAATGATCGGTGTCCACGTGCATGGTCTAAGCTCAAAGCGCGGGGACGCTGCATTCACTACCATTGCCGCGGGCACCTGGCCCGGCCCAGATCCTCGGCTAGACTTCCCGTGGCACCTTCAACAGAAAGCTATAGGACTGGAGCTTTGTTTTTCCTGAGGTCTAGCGTGCACTGAGGTCTAGCCTCGCATCGCTAAAGGAAAACAAACCCGGATGGGCTTCAAGTACCTTCTAAGAGGTGTTTGGGGAGGGTTTAGAGGGTCCAGTCATACCGAACCTGAAGAGGTACGACGAAGTCGGTGTACGGAAAGGTAGGACTGGAACCCGGCTGGGCTCGATGCCGCTCGCCCGTTGGACCCCGGAAGTTACGCCCGTCCGACGCAGCGCAGCGCAGCGCAGCGACTCGTTTTTTGCGCACCACTCTGACCGCGGACGACACACGGAAAAACACGTGGAGCGTCACGTGGGCGAGACGGTGGATTTCTAGACAGATTACACTCCCTAGAACTAACATGAAAGTGGAACCCCCCCGGTTTGTACCTGGAGTCTCAAAGCTCGGAAAATGAGCACAATTTATTTACCTGTTTTTATGGGATCATGCCCCATTTTTTAAAGGTACTTTGGAGGAAAATGGTTTTCCAAGGCCATCCACTTCCATGTTCATTCCAGGGATTTTAATCTCTTGTTCGAGTCAGTAGAGCCTAGCTCAACTGCTAGCTCGACGAATGTGTGCAGAACTGCCAAGTTTGTACGACACTGGTCGTGTTTCCTTTGCGTGATGTATTCTTGATGGGAAGCCTCTTTTTCCGCGTGCTTCGTGTTCCTGGGGAGGCAAACACTGAAAGAGCTTGGGGTTGCTGACCCCATAAACATCATAAACATGGTGCATGGTGCTCAAACTCCGGTTTCTTGAAAACACCCGGGCTGTTGCTCCAGCTACGATGCGGAAAGGAATCCTGTTTCGATGCGCAAAGGTCACAAGCCCTGCGATTTGGAGCAGTCCTTGCTTGATGCTTGATTCATGGAACACCTTTCAGGTTGGGAGAATTGGGCAAGGAGCAGTCCTTTCTGATTTCGGAATAACGACACACACACACACAAACCCTAGGGATCCAGTCGTACCGAACCTCAGGTCCGGGCTTATGTGATTTCCTCCAAGACATGAGACGGTGCCAATGGCACGGGTCGTGCGTCCTACCGAATCCCATCCGGGAAATAGTCGTTGTTGTTACCCTGGGGATCCAGTCGTACCTTCTTAGGATAGGTGGGACTGGGGTGGGTGCCCTGGTCGGGTCCAGGTGCCGTACCTGAGGTTCGGTACGACTGGATCCCTAGGGTTAGGCCGTTGGTGTGGCTCCGGTCCTAGCGAAAGAGAGCTTGGGGTCTCAGGGATCGCTGTGGCCGTTCTCCGTTCGATGCGTGACGAAAAAGAGGGCAGTGGTGGGACGGCGTCCCTGGCGACGGACTGTAGCGCATGGTGGTTCTGCCCTGCTCAGCAAATGAGGGTACTGCCCGGCTCATCACGACCTGATTCCCCAAACATGCTGGGTTTCTCATGCCCTCTCCCACACAAAACAACCAAATCAAATGTTCACTTCCATCTGAAACAATACTATATGCTTGCAAGGTTCAATATTCCAAGCACAATTGCTTCTCTCTTCAAATTTAGGTTGATCGTACTCCATCTGATCATGCATCGTGCACAGGCTGCACACATCGATTGGCTACGCTAGCTGGCCCTGGCCATGACGATCTGCTACACGTGGGGGCTCTCAGGAAGATACTGCTCAGGTACCAATGGATCGGGATGTTGCCTGAGTGGAAGATCACAAACCAAGCAAATCAAGGCATCAAACCCGTGCCCGGACAGAAACAACATGGTTATTTCAACATGGACATTGATATCTCTTGCATAGCAAGTGGTTGTTTGAGGAAACATAATGTTTACTCTGGTTGCTTGGGTTTCAGAATGTTTAGATCTATATACGTTGTTCCCGATGACATGATACTTCCAAATTAGTTATTATGTACTTTATAGGTCTGGAGATTGCCCAATTGGCCAAGAGCAGTCAATCTTGTCTTGATCATGCTTCGGGAATTTGCAACATTAATGGAACACACATCATCCGGATCCTCCGTTTCTACTCCAAAATCAAATCTAAGACACTCCATGTCTGGAATCTTCGATAAAAACCTATACATTAAAGGGTGCTGCATATCTCCTGATGTTGTAAAGGTCACTTCTGCTGTACTCCTGGTCTTGGCCCAACAAGTTCAGGTTTACTGATTAATTACTGTTGGATAAAAAAAACATCCTTCCAGTCCCATTCTTCGTGTCGGAAGCGGACAAAACATGCCGAACCGAACCGACCGTTCTGAGCCTGTGTCCGGTGGGCAAGTCGGTCGGAGTGATCGGTCCGGTCGGTCCATCCTGCGTCTACCCTCCACCGACTTCGTCGTACCTGCGAAACGGTTCGGTATGACGACCGACCCGACCCTGGCACCACTCTTGGCACCCGGGCCCCGGTCGTCCCACCGACCCGGTTCGCGGTTCGATACGAAAACGGAGGCCGAATGGGAAACTCCTTGATCTGGCGATTTTTGTCGGTTCCTGGCTCCATCACCTGGGCACCTAGGGCACCCTGGAGCAACCAACAACCAATCCAAGAAGCATGGACAACACTGTGACAACACTAGAACTGGTGCAACGTTGCAGTTCCGCACAGATGCGACTCAGCATTCCACGACTTGAACTTCAGACTGCCAAACCACCCTGCTCCCAGCTGCGCTGTGCCCGCCTTTGGAGGTTTTTGGTTGGCACCCAAGGTGCTTTGACCATTCGCTTCAACCAAGGTGCTTGGGCGTCAAGTACTTCCTTTGCACCTCACTGCTCCCACAGCCTCATTCGCTGCGCACGGTCGTCCGAGGACGCGGCCGGAGATGTGGAGATCGACTCAGGCAGCAGTGTCTTGCCTTCCGTGAAAGAAGTAATCCCGAGCACCCCTGGTCCAGGACCATCCGTTGCTCGGATGTCCTGAAAGACCCCCCGGCAACGACCATCCTCTGGTTTTGTACGTTCGACCATCCGAAAACGAGGTACCTGGACCCTATGGGTACCTATTAAAGATCGGACCCCCCCCGATTTCAGGGACCCCCTATTAAAAAAGATGCGACCGAGGTTTCCTTGACAGGATTCGTCATTCCTAGGCCATCACTTGGGAGACCGCAAAAAAGGTGATGTGAGGCCGGATGGGTCAAGTGGTCACATGGGTCACTTGCATGTATACCGGGCATGGATGGTCGACCAAGAGTGGCTGACAACAGCCCGGAGTGGAACGACCCAACGAGTGGAACGACGTACACAAAGGAAGGAACACGACCGGTCCAAATGGAGGTCAGAAGCAGAAAACATCGCGGTCTTGGCTTCACCTCTAACATCCAAACCTTATAGTAGATAATCAAATAAGCTTTCCAACAAATTCTGAGGGATCTTCCTCACAGACCTCTTCCAATGCCACTTGCCCTCGGACTCTGCCCTTGGGCTTGACACCCTCGGACGTGACACCGACCACCATACCGACCGGTCGTCCGTTTCGGCGTCTCGTCGGTGTCTCTCCGCTCGGTGACCGCCCAGGCGCTGGGATCAGGACATTTGGAGGTCTCCATGTGAAGACATTGCTTGCTGAGCCACTGAAGCCCACACGCTTGGCATTCCTGGCGGGCGACGACAGGAGCTTCCGGAACCGGAAACGGGAAGAAACGGAACTGCGACGAGGCTGCCGGGCATAGCAAGGAGATGAATGGAATTGGATAGAATTCCTCTGCTCCCCCTTCGAAGTGACTAAGTGACCAGTCAAAGAATCGTTAAGCTCTGGCTTTCCGACGGCTATATTGCTATACCCATCACCAGATGCCTAGGATGATTTCTTTTACAAAGTATACAGTTCCAGAGAAGACCCGCTTAGCATATATTATACCAAATACAGACCTGAGACCGATGGTGAACAAGTACCCGGGAAAGAGGAAAAGGACTTTGGAAAGAGACTTGAACGTGTTGTGTTCTCACTCGAAGCCGATTTCGCCACGCCAATGGAACCACCACATCCGTCACAGAAACCTCGAGTCACAGCCGATTTTCCGCCCGTCACGTATGCCGTATGTGCTCCGCGTCCTGGATGGGCGCATAGGGCTCTTCATTCTCCAAATACACCGATCCCCAATCTTGTCGCCTTGACAACTTCCATAGACACCACAGATAACCGTTGATCGCCACCTGCGAGGTGCTGAGGTGCTGAGGTGCGAGGTGCTCGAGTGAGGTGCTCGTTGGGATGGGGTGGATGGAGTCTTTTGGAATAGCTTTCCCAACAGGCCATGGCCCATAGCACCAACGCATCAAGTACATGTACTTAGTCATTTGTTGCACTGGGGAGGGTCCAGGTTTGGTCTGAGGTCCGTGCATGGATTTGTTCATCCCTTCTCCATCCAAAAACAACCACCCGATGCACTGGGCCTCGCCAATCTTTGTGTTGTACGCGAGTTCACTGTGTTAGTTCCCTAGGGCTCCTGGCCCACCTCCGTTTCGAAGATGGTTGGGGTGGGTGCCAGGGGGGTCTGTGCCCACCGAACCTGAGGATATGATTGGAGCCCTAAAGGTTTATGGTTTCATGTCTCCATGTCACTCTTTGACATGCCCGGACTCGTCCGGATTTCCCGCGCGGTCTGGACGAAGGAGGACGAAGGACGACTTTCCCGGAGTTCGGCTGCGTCGACATCTTTGGAGTCGACATGTAGACGTGACCTCGAGACAAAAGGACTACAAGTACCTTCCAAGAGGTGTCTATATTGCTAGCCCCGTAGATCGAGGTGTCTTCGAGGTGGCCCAAAAACCGATGTTGGTTTCGGTCCTTCAAGGTCCGGTCGACACCTTGGCCGGGATCTCAGACTTTTGTGGATCCGGTAGTACTTGGATTCAGATGTCATTTCTGGGACCAACCTGATCCGTTGCCGCATGAGAAGGCTGGCCTGTCGCAAAACCTCTCCTGGTACACAAGGCGCCCCGCTCTCTCCGCCGTGGCACGCCACGTAACGCGCATCGAGTCTGGAGTCTGCCAAGAGACCCAAACGATGAACATGAGCACCCCCAAGACATAGTCATAGAAATCCAAGGTACTGCGAGTCCAAAGTGATGCCAAGCTGAGCTGCCCTTCCCTGCGTCACTTCTGGGCAGTAGGTGAAAGAAAAAGAGGCTGAAACGAGCCATGGGACTGGCATGTTTGCCTACGGGCCTACAGGGTGGTTTCAAACATCTATATATAGGCACAAAAAAAAACAATATATGGTACAAATTCATGTAACTCCCTTGGGTATATCCTATTCCCTATATAATTATATATATAGTGGATGATGATGGTTAGTAATGAGCTTTACTCCAAAATGGTGCCGGTGATCATTGTTTACGGGTCCTGTTACAGGTAAGTTCGGACAGCCCCAATAAATTCCATACATGGCCCATGTCTGGGTCAAATGGTCACGGGCTTTGAGGCAATCTGATGCACCTGGAGCCTCCCAGGTTTTTCTGTGCTGGACCTTCATGTCTGCTATGGAGGAGAGCCACCCGGCGTGAACCAATGGATTCCAAGAACCCAAACTCCTTCAGTTCGCGACCTCGAATGAGTCGAAGTCTGTGACCTCTATATAGATCTAGACAGGCACTGTGACCACGGCCCCGACCCTCGTTCTGGGATCTGAAGTTCGGTCACGAACTGAAGGTCCTGGATTGTTTGGATGCTTTAAATCCCTCAGCTACCAATTAACCAGTTGTTTTACTAACCCTAAGGGTCCAGGACCATCCTGAGGATGTCCTTTCACCCCCCAAGACCATTCTCTGGAAGTACTTTCACCTCCAAGACCATCCTCAGGGAGTACCTGGACCCTATGGGTAAGGATCTTAGAGTGCAAAACCAGGTCAACCGAACTCTTTGAATGGTCGAACCGAAGACCAAGGTGAATGTTCAGGGCACCTGGGACCGTGCTCATGTTCCTTGCTGCCGAGCCAAATCCCGTCATTGACAACATATGGGCACAGGTGAAAAGGACACCTTGTTCCGTCGCAAAAACAACAAACTCAATGAATGTTGTGAGTCCCAGTGCTTCTTTAAAGGCTGAGTTGACTTCTAGCTATAGAGAGGACACATAAGCAGAAACCGGTCGCGAAACCACAAACAATCAAACATGTGTTTCTCTTTGAGCGGTGGCCCAGCCAGGGCGCAGCCCATGACCTTGGTGACCCCCAAAAAAACACCGTTCATAACTGGCTCTTTCGTTCATGACCCAACTTCATCCCCGTTGAGATCCCAAACAGGCCTGGTTTGAAGTCGCGTATATGACAACGCGACTGGAATCATATATATGATAAACCCGATGCCGGGGGTGAATCATTCAGATGCTTCAAGGGGATTCACCCTCCAAGTCGGTCACGAACTGAAGGATCTTCGCTGCCCCTCCCCCCCGAAGTCGGTCAACTCGAAAAAAAATGACTTGCTGGCTCCAAGCGGCTTCACTTCTTCAATGCCACGTCTCCAAATCACGAAGACCACCGTTTGCAAACAAATGACAATCAGGAACCTCACCCCGATTCCAGGAACCCCCCCGGTGTCGGCCGGCTAGGAGATGAGGCGTCCAGCGTCCACCGTCCGGACCAACCACGAGGGGGGTTTCAAACCCCAATACTATACCCTGGGGATCCAGTCGTACCTTCTCAGGATAGGTGGGACTGGGGTGGGTGGGTGCCCTGGTCGGGTCCAGGTGCCGTACCTGAGGTTCGGTACGACTGGATCCCTACAAACATATGTTGACCATTGGATTCCTTGCTGATCAATCTTGAATCCAGTCTACGGTCAATGGTCAATATACTAAAGCAGTATTTCAGACTAGTTGAATCTATTCGAGATTATTTAAGGTCACCTGAAAAGGGGGGGGTCGTTTCTTAATCAGAGGTGAACATTCGTGTGCAACCCTTAGTTAGTCACCATATTGAAATCTCGCTTGTCGGAATTTGCCTTTCGTAGCTCTAATTCGATCGTTTGGTTGCCTTGTCACTTCTTCGAATATTTCCGCACCTTCAAGACCCACCAACAATTGACCAAAATCAGTCTGGAAAGGGTATCCCTCTTGAAGCCACCATACCATCAATAAAGTGTATATACCCTAAATAAGGCTATTAAGTTTCGTGCTGGCAGACAAATTATCCACAATACTAATGTGCCCTTTGTGTGAATTCCAGAAACCTCTCTCCAAAACAAATTGCCCTTTCATCTCAATTCTAGGCACCTTTCAGCTGAGTTGATGCGTGCGAGACGTATGTGCATAAAGGTGAATAAGGCGAAGATTTGGGGGTTTGGTGAGTCCAAGTGATAAAATTATAAGAGGATGGATGTAAGAAGCAATCCAAAGAAGGAACCAGTTAATAACGAATTGAAAGGCACAAACACTAGAAGATAAGACAGGAGTCTTTTTCAAGACTTTTGCTTAAAGGGCTAGAGATTTGGATATCATGATATCTAGGTCCAGGGTTAAAAAAGTAGCTCTATGCGCTCTATGTGTAGGTGTATTATGCGGCTTTGGGATTTGCTTCGCGGGATCATCCCTAAGGGTCCAGGACCATCCTGAGGATGTCCTTTGACCCCCAAGACCATCCTGAGGAAGTACTTTCACCTCCAAGACCATCCTCAAGAGGTACCTGGACCCTATGGGCATGTTCTTGATGATAGGTCGACATTACCAAACCAGGTGAACGAAACTCGTTTCATTCTCCTTCTTCAGGGCTCCAATCCCCTCCTGAGAAGGTGGTATAAGACCCCCCTGGCACCCACCCCAGTCCCACCTTCACCTTCAACGGAGGTAGGACTGTCGCCGAGGAACATACAGGCGAAGGTGATGTATTTGTCGGCAGCGGTGAGGTATGCCTTGCGAGGCAGAATCTCGTTGATGATGTAGCGGTAGGCCAGAACGGCCAGGAAGCAAGAACTCACCTGGGACGAAGGGCCTGCGATGTGAAGAAGGGAAGAAGGAAGCCCTTCAGTGTCAGGTACCATTTACGGTTGCACACGACTCACACGACTGAGGGTATCCTCTCCATTAATCAAGCAACAGGCATTAAAAGGCAATCGCCTTGGACGACTGTGCAGCTGTCGTCCACGCGACCGAGAACTCTGTGGGTGGGGCACTCTGTAGACCTAAGAACTATCCTGCAGTGATGGATGAAACTTATGTAGAACAGCTGAAAAGGGATAACCACCACCAGCCAAATACTCCATGTATATCCCTGGACCCTCCAAAGTACCTTCGAAAATGGGATGTGTCCCTAGAATCTACCCTACCAGTAGAAAACAGGTGCTTGTACCCAAAGGTACTTTAAATGAGACTCCAGGTATACACATGTATACTATGCCTATACATTCACCCCTGAAACCTTCATCTACATAGGCATGAATGCCTGCAGGTCAACCCCGCCTCCCAAACACACCCAAACAAACCGACCATCGAGCCCGGGTTTTGACAAAGGTTTTGAACAAGCGGAACCTTTCGGAAGGACCCACTGTTCATGTCAGTGTCTTGTCTGAACATCTCTCTCTCTCTCTCTGTCTAGTGACTTCTGATGCAGAACCTAGGTAATAGTTATTCCACAATCTATGCGCTACACTCCTTGAAGACTAGGCTCAACAGGTTTCTTCTTGCCACGTCTTTTTCCTTGCGCGTATTTACCACCCTTGAAACGTTGCTGGATTCCCAAATCAACAAACGTTGCTGGTTGGCGGCCAATGTAATCAATCAAGTGATCAATCGGAGCTAAGTGGCTAAGCTTAATCGACCACTTGCATCATGTAGAGGGATTGCAAAGGCACAAAGCCCCATGAGATTCACCTCGGAAGCAAGGCGATCGGGCATCGGGCACGGGTACGGTACCGTCCAAGGACTTGAACCATTTTACAAACACAAAGAAGTGGTGGATCATGACCAAATAGGGGTAGATCATGGTAGATTCATGAATTGGAACTTTGAACTTCAGTACCGACCGGCACTTTCGGCCAACTCCGTGGTTAAGAATCGATGATCTTCAAGGTTTCGCCGTGCTGTACGCTCCAATTCCAACAAGTAAGGAGAGCCCTTCATGGGTGGCCAACCTGAATCAAGCGGAAAGCCTAACTGATCGATCGTCAATACCCCAAGAATCAGACCATGATTAACCTTTTGACGTTGATTTTTTTTCACCAGATCCGTAGACCATATCCGTCCGGAGGGCATAATATGTCACTGAGTCAAATCTGAATCGTCGACACCTGGAGTGAAGCTTTGAGACGGCATGGTCACACACCGGAGCCTGCAAAGCCTGCGAAGACATAGATCTGGTGCACAACAAGTCATGTGGGTTCTTACCTCATCTGATAAGGATTACCAGCACCCTCCAACAGGTCTTGGAGGGTCCTGGTAGACGAAAATTGCTTTTGAAAGGCTCTCATGTCCCATATATGGATCCATTGAATTACATGGATCCATCAACTCCCAGTGTCCGAACTCCTTGGTCAGGTACTTGCACAGGTCAAGCACAACCAAAAGACTTCCTGTGACTTGGGGTGGCGGATCCCTAAGGCTCTTTCAGGTGTGTGTGTGTGTGGTACAAACACATCACCAAACATGTTTCGAAGTCATGGAATTGAACTGGTCGCGACAAACCCAAACCATCCCGGACCATCCATGGGACTGGAATGTTTTTAGTTACAATGCTATAGTGTCCTTACAAGTAGGGTCCAATGATATGATATGTATATACATATTCCAGCCACACAGATGGTCTGGGATAGATACATACATACTCATCTTCCTGGCTTGATTCACCCTGCGGACAGCTTGTGTTTCTCGAAGTGACGTCCGAAGTCCTTCCACGTCACGTGATCTGTATACGTCACGTGGAGTTGGGCACCGAGGTACCAGGAAGACCATCAGCAACATGTTGTTGAAGTAATAGTCACCCTGACGATCCAAATGAAATATGACGTTCACCATCGATCTTTGCGATGGGAAGGGCAACTCGAAGTCACAGTAGCGGACATAGGAGCCGCAAAGCTTCTGCATCTCCTTTCAGGTCGTGTAGGTCGTGCTAGACCCGCACATGATCCCATGGACCAGATGGACCCTAAGAAGGAACGGTGTTTGGACAATGGCCCTCTCCCATTTGATCCAGCTTAGTAACCTATTCCTAGCCATCAGCCATCAGAAAGAGCTGCAACAAAATCACAGGTGAACACAAACCTGGTTGGTGCTTTCAACTCATGGACAACATGCAATTCTGAGTCAGTGGGTTCCATCCCAAGAACCTGAATTCCCCATCTCTCCGCCCGAACTCGAGAATGTCTCGGCCAATGGCGGTGCCGTCCCGCGGTGCCGTCCCGCGCCGCGGCGGGCGCGGGGTCTGCGCCGTCCCGGGCGCCGTCCCACCTGGTCCACCTTGAACGTATCGCAGGCGCGCGAAAAGTGATGTTTATGGTCTTTCTTGAGCATGACGAACTGGAAGTCCTGGTCGATCTGAACAGGGGATCGACCGGAAGAAGTTCTACCGGACGCTCAGCCGCTCGGGACGCTCACGGCTGGGTCCAAAACGGGTCGACCTGGGTCCGGGTACCGATGGGTTAGGATGGAAAGTGATGGCTGGTGGTTGTCGCTCCCTGGTGCCCTCCAAGCAAGCAAACAAGTCAGTGAAAGATAGTGAAAGCATTTCCCCTACGACGATTTCTGCAAGGCCCACTGGGCACATGCTTGAATCAAGTGACCAAGACTTATCATTTGCCACAGCCAGAAGAAACTGTCCAAACAAATCCGTCGCGGACACTTGCGACACCCTTGCATGAATTGCGTGATGTCATGCTGTTGGCTAAAGCAAATGGTTCGTGCATGGCTTGCGCATCTGCAAGCGCACAACAATTTTTGGACACATTCGCTGCTCAGTTCGGCTTAGTCAGCTGCTTAAAAATTTTTGGTGCCGACCAAGTCTTGCCACCAAAAGCTCGGCATATGGAAAAATGATGCCCGAGCAGTGACAATCAACAGTACCGTAAAAATAAGTGCATCTACCAGCAGAATCAACTGTACGTCGGTGCTGTAGCTGCTGTAGCAGCCAGCTTCTCTGCCAACACATCTTCCATCACTCCTTTTATCACCTGGGTAGCTTTTTGGACCTGAGCAATATACCTGGGGCATATGCCGGTCATGCAGTCATGCCCACATACCACGTCAAAGCCGCAAGTTTGAGTACAGTGATCGATCCTGTCAATTTTGTTGGCTATTTCGGACGTGCTCCTGGCATCAAACACAGCGCAGGCACATGGTACGGCCGCCCCGAGGTCCAAAGGTTTGCCACCGGAGTTCACACTCACGCACTTCATGAACTCCACATTTCCGCTGGTCATGCCACCGTGGTTGTTTCTGATGTTTGGAATGTCCTCAGGGTCCGAAAATGGTGGCTGTCCTGATCCCAAGGCCAAATACTTCTTCTCCACCGCTCGCGACAGCTGGGCATAGTTCACCGACAGCTGGGCAGCCTCCCAACTCGGGTGGTACAACCACACCGCACATCCAGCAAAGAGAAGGGTCAAGAAGACAAGGCCAAGACGAACGCCACAGTGCTGAGGAGGAGTCCTTACGTCTTCACATCCTTCAGCATCGGGCTCAAGCAGAACAGCGGCCTCTGCATCTGAAGCTGCTGCTGAAGCATGCATTGCTCTCCGGTGAACAGTGAGCCCACTAAACGGGACAAAAATGCAACTACAAATGTGCTGAGCAATCTGCTGGCTGCACGGCAATGCCACATTCAACTGCATGAATCAACATGTACGTCCCGTGTTTAAGTCTTTCCCTCGAACATGAATCTAGCCAGACAAAATCATCGCACCCACTGAGTACCCCCGGATGGAAAAAGCAGACGAAAAGGATGGAAAAAGCACCTGAAAGGACCAAGGTCTGAAGTGTGAACTGCCAGTCAGCCAGTCGATGGTTTCCCTAGGGATCCAGTCGTACCTGCTCAGGTACGGCACCTGGACCCGACCAGGGCACCCACCCCAGTCCCACCTTCTGAGAAGGTACTTGGATCCCCAGGGTTTCTCAAGCACCAGGCCCCACATACACGGTGCTTCAGACACCTGGACGTTTACAGAGTCGCAACCGAAGAGAGATGAGCTGTGCCCAAACCAGTCCAGGCACAAACAGTGGAGAGAACTCCTACCCTCATCCCTCATCCAAACAACGAGGGTGAAAGCTAGGGGGCCAACATGTCGTAAAAGCAAGCGCATCAATCATCAACGGCCTGGTTCTTCAAAGTGACCGTACTTGATAACCTGGTTGGTTCGGTCTCTTAAGCCTGCTAAGGGTCACGACAAGGAACCTTCAAAAGGTCACGAACTGAAGAAGCTGGGGTAGGGAACACACATTGAACATAAACCCCAACAACCACAACAGCCCACCATGAACATGATGTGCTTCCGCATCCCCGATCCTGACATCCGCCCTGGATCCTGTGTGGCGTCACCACGGAACGGAACTGCAAGGGGCTTTGACATCGCAGCGGGGGTCGAAGTGCCTCGCCCGCTACACACCAACCACCATCCCGAGGATCGACCGCTTTTCCTCGATGGGCTTTTCCGCGGTGATCTTGATGCGGCAGAGCTGACGATCCAAAGGGAAGTAATGCAACCTCATCCGGCGACCCGCCGTCACAACCCATTGAGAAGGCTTTGGGGTGAGGTACGCCAAACCTGGGTGCAGCTGATGGATCAGCTGATGGATCAGCTCCAGTTCGGTAGGTGGACCTACAAGTATAGGTCTAGGAGGGTCCATTTCTGAGAAGGTCTGCGTCTGGATCCCTCGGGCTTTGTGGCGACTGCAACTACCCAAGGGCTCCAACTACTGAGAGTGTTGGGGTGGGTGCCAGGGTGGTCTAATCACCTTCTGAGGTCTCTGGTGGGGTCCGGGGATCATATACTCTTGATTATATTAACATTTATCCAACTGCAGGGGGTTTAAACAATCCACCCATAGGCTCATTGGACCCTCATAGCTACGTAGGCTTTTGACCCTCACAACCAGGGTTTTGGACCTCAGCAGTTTGAGGGTCCATGAGCCTCTGGGCAGCAAGTGATTTGGAAACAGGTTGGCTTCGAGTGATTCGAGGGCAGCTTCGAGGGCGCGACGATCTCATCGTCGCGCTGGATTTCCAGGCGCCGACAGGCGCCAGGGACTGGCCTGCTACCTTCAATTCGGATGATCCAAGTTCGTTCTAACAGATGCACCAGGAGAAAGCGGTCACGCGGCGACTGCATTGACTGACCTTTCAGAGACTGCAGGATTTCAAGGAGACGGACCGACCAATGAGACGCACCGGTCCTTCGCTTCTTCGATGTACCGGTTCCCGCGAGCTGCGGTGTTCGGTGGGACGACCGGGGTGGCCCGGGTGGTCGGGTCGGGTCCGGTCAGACCGAAGCGTTTCGGAGGTACGAAAACGGGTCGGTGTAAGGGAGTATACCCAGATGAGCTGATGGAATGCATCGAGCAACACATGCAACTCTCGATGGAACTGGGACACACGAACTTCGTCTGAGAGGAAGAGATCAAAGAGTTGGGTACCAAGACCTTCTCAGTAACCGAACTTTGGAGTCCCTAAGTGATCCTTTACAAGCCTGTTCGTGACCGAACCAACCAGGGGATCAAGTTCGGTTACTGGGAAGATCCAGGTAGTTAGTAGGTGCCACTGGCATTCATTCATGTGTTCTTCAGGCTGAGCAGGGCAAAGACTCTAACCCAGCGACGATGCACATCACTTCATTCGTTGCTGCCAAAGGCGGTTGCAAAGAGACTTGCTTCGGCTATCGCAAAGTCAACAAGGTTAAGCCACTCACATTCCATGCTGGTGTATATATATATATATAAAGACTCACTATGTTCTTCTTCCTTTTTTACCGCAATGCAAGACCTTGATAGTCAGAAAGAACAACAAAGACTGATCGAACAAATTCACTTGAAGAGGCCCCTGCCTCTGACTCCCCCCACAGCTGCCCCGCCAGGCCGGGGTGAGCGTGAGCCAAGAGTCCAGGGTGGTCCCGGGCCCCGCCAGGCCGGGGGACATCCGGGCCACCACCCTACCTTGAGATCATCCCTTGATCTTTTTCTCTCTTCCGCCGGCGGAGTTAAATTCCAAAAATGAAAACGAAGTTCCCTCATTTGCGCGCTTTGCGCTTTGGTCTCTGCTTCCTTCCACGTCCCCCTGGCCCACCCTTGGGGTGAAGCTCAAGAGTTTGAAGCGGGACACGGAGAGACTTCTGAAATTGTCTTCGGTAGGCCTGTGCAGTGCCATTAAAAGTAAGCTTAAGTTCAGCGAGTACAGCTAGACCTTCGTTAATGTAAATTCGGGCCGTTTTGCTCGAGGCCCACCTCCCCTGAACCAGGAGCCGGTCCAACGAGCCGTGTCGGCCGAAATACATCGTGGCCCCGCCTCGTCTGAGGCTGTAAGGCCGGAAGTCATAACTATCAAGTTGACAAGCTAAAAGGCACTCATTGAAGGTCTTTCTCCAAGAATGAGGTGTTCCACAAAGTGTTGTTGGAGTGTGCGGTGAACTCAACCACTGCCAAAGTCTTCTCAAGGTGTCTTCCTCTCGAATTGTGACACTTTCTGCCGCTCCTGCCCTCTTGCCAACCTTTGTGAATCCGAGCGAAATCACGGCTGGACTCCGAGGACCTGCCTGAACCACATGCGCCTTTTGCACCCCCAGTAGCTCCCCGGTGCGCAGGAGCCCGTGGAACCCAAGAAGCAACGACAGAGCAAACAGTGGTTGGTCACTGAACAGTGCATATCCGGCTAGAACATGAAGGGCCTCCAGGGGCAGCGGGGGCGCACGATTGGGCAGTTCATTGGAGGAGAAGAAACGGATGGAAGTCCTGTACAGCTGCAACGGTGTCACAGGCGAGTGCTCTCCCCTCACCCGTCTCCCAAAGATGTTCGATGTAGTGTGAAAGGACATAGTCTTGGCCTGCTGCATCTCGAGGATAAGGGCGGCTCTCTTCTCACAAAAAGTTGCGGTAGCGCTCCATGGCTTTGTCATAACGTGCTCTAGTTTTGCTTTGAACAGTCAGATTTCGAAGTGGTCCCAAACGTCATCTTTGTGCTTGCCTATCTGCTTTACTCCTACCTTCCAGGTGCGACCTGGACTTCTTCACCATTTCTTCTTCACAGGCCGCCTCGATGGGCGGTCAGCTGGGTTTTGTGAAGTATGGACATACGCCCATACTCCATGACTCCCCGAAGCTAGGAGTAAAGCGTCAATTCGGCTCAGGGTCCATCGCTAGGGCCGCAAGGACCCCCGGTGCCCGCTTTGAGAGCCTGCGGACTTTCTGCTGCTCCTCGAACACTTCCACGGATTCGGAGGTCGTAGTCTCGTCGCTGCTCGAACTCCCCGTTGAATAGGAGTCCTTCTTCTTTCTCTTGGTCTTCTTTTGGGCTTTCACGGCATAGCGACGCCTGAATCTGGGGTCTGGGTCCAGGCCTGTGCCCCCAAACACCTCCTTCAACTCCTTGCGAGCCCCGGCCTTCAGGTCGATCTTCTCCTTGCTCTTCTTCTCGGGGCTTCTGCCTCGTTCCTCGCTCCTCTTCCTCTTCTTTTTCTTTCTCTTCGCCTCGGACTTTTCCTCCTCTGCGGCTACTTTTGCACTGCTCCCTCTGCCTCCTCCTTCTTCCCTCTCCCCGACCAGGAGAGGGGCTGCTCGGGGGCTCTCTGGCCTTGCGACCTCCTCGATCAAGTTTGCCATCCACGGATCGTCCTCGCCTGTTCTCTTTGAAACGATCGTCCCATGGATGAGATCCTCCGCCTCGAGCTTCTCGGGGCATTTGTCCCCGCAGAGATGGACCCTGAGCTTCAGGCCGGGATGGCCAGTGGCCCACTTGAGTAGGGTCTCCTCCGTCGTGCCTTGAGCTTTCACGTGCAACCCGACATCCTTGGGCGTCCTGATGTAAAGATCCTCCACCAGACCTGCCACCATAGCTCGGGCGCCCCAATAGACGCCCTCGAGGCATATCGGCAGGCCCCTTCGAAAAACTTCCAAAGGAACTTCTTCGCATTTCACCTTCTCTCCTCTCTCAAAACTCGCTCCTGTTGAGGCAAGGCGCAATGCCTCACCCCTCAACTCTCCCTCAGCCTCTGGTTCACCAGCCTCTCTCGCGGCTGGCCTCCTCCTCACTGCCCCTCCCCGCCTAGGAGGTGCCTCTTCCAAAGCTCCAGCCGGCCGACGCCTGGGTGGCATCGCCTACTGTAGCCTTCAGCTCTCGTCTCCCTGAGCCCGATACCAATGCCTCTCTCTCTTCTTCGCTCCCTTGTTCTCACCAAAGAACTTTGGCTGCAACTTCCACGCGGCTGGCTTTCCGTCCCACCTTTTGACCGCTGGCCTGATGATAGGCGGGGTCCTAGAAGGAGGGTTGTGCCTCCCCGGGGGTGACTTTGAAGGCGTATGTGGAGGTCGAACTGAAGGTTTCGCCCTCAGCTCTGCTGGCTGTGCCTCTCGATCCCTCCGAGTGGACTCACCTGTTGCCTCACCTCTTGAACTCCTTCTGTGTCTCCTCCTGCTTCTTGAGCGAGTCTTGCTAGCTCTCTTCTTCTCTCTGCGTTCTCTGCTTCGCGTCCTGCTCTTCCTCCTCGATGGCCTTCCTTGATCACGAGGATATGCCCTTGAAGAACTGGTGTTCTTGCCTTCTTCCTCAGCCTCTGTGGGACTGCTCTCCCTTTTGATGGGGCTACTTGGCTGCTCCTCCTCGCGTTTTGGTTCCAACCAGGCCTTGCCAGGCGGGGCTGTGTCCTCCTCAGCCTCTGCTCTCCCCGGACCAGGAGATGAATTGGTAGCCGGACTTTTGGCTTTGGATGCCGCTGTCTTACCCGCTTCCTCCTGTAGGCGCTTGTGCTCCTGGAACTTCTCAGCCTCCTCTTGCAAGATTGAAGTCCAGATGCGCAGGCTGCTTACCGCCCAAGAACGAAGTCCAACAGGAAGGTCGTCACAGACTGTCCAAAAGCGGGTACGCGATCTGCAGAACGTACAGACCACCTCAGCCTCCCCGGATGTCAGGAGACCGCAATCGCGGCAAAGCATCAACGCTTTCGAGCCAAACTCTGTGGAGAAAAACGATTCCGAACGCGGTCGTCTTAATTACCGGGGACGTCACATCATATATAGCATCTGATGTGTCTCTCTCTCTCTCTCTCTCTCAGCCCAAACCCCTGATAGATAAGTATCTATCTTATAATATTATTGTAAGATAGCCTCTTAACACACAGAGCTTCAAGATGTCCACCGGTCTTTTCACCCAAAGAGGTGCCGCACCGCCACCAGTCCCCCACCAAGCCACTCCAAGCGTTCCGCGAAGGTCCCATCGATCTTCCGTCGCCACGAGACCTGCTCCGGGTCCCACGGCGGACGGAGGTTGGGTGAGGTGATCCGGTCTACCGGACACCGCGGCGGGGGGGGTATGTGATGACCTGGGGAAGCCAAGATACTAAGCTATAGAACAAGTATATAGTACCAGCGTGAAAGCGATTTCTTGGGGGTTCCAGGAGGTATACAAAATGGTGACGTACGTACTTGCTTCTCTAGGTACAGCTGAAAAATGAGTCGTAGCCATGATGAGTGTTTGCCCCATGTATAAGGGTATGAACTGAGAATCCCGGTAGCTGGCTTAGATAGAATGGTGTATTGATTTTTGTTCTGTTTATGCCATCCTACCAGGGCACCCCTATAACTATTATACCAGCAGGAAAAGCAGTCCCAACCCCAAAAGAGAAACTTAAATGCTTGAATGGCAATTGAGATCCTTGACATTCCTTGACATAACAACAACGAGAGATCCGAGAGGCAAAGGTGCCGTCTTGGTCGCTCCAAACCACCTCGTAGATGGGCTTAAAGAGGTCGTTGCACTCTCCTCCGGCGCAGGGCATGTGGCAGGTTGCGTCTCCGAGCGATGTCCGCCCCGTCTCGGCTCCTTGAATGTTGATGAAGGTGAAGCTAGGGAAGAACTGCTTGTCCCAATCCGGCTCTTGGATGTGTTTGGACACATACTCGCCTCGAGCGCCAGGCGTCGAAGTGTCAGTATAATATACTCCCCTGCAGATTGACGTGGAACGCCAAAACCACTGGGTTGTGGAGGAAAATAGTCTTCCACCGGTCAATTCTCAGGTTGCATGTTAGTTTGTGGGAGGGTACCCTATACAGGTCTTACGGACCTTATTTGACTGGGTCCGGGAACATGCAAAACTCAGTACTCAATGAGATGAGGTCAGTCAGATCCGGCTTAACGACACCCATTACGAAGGACTTGTAGGGAGAGCTGATAGATTTGTCGAACATCGACTGGTGCCAAGATGCAAGGCAAAAAAGATCAGCCCCGTCGTGGTGTGATGGGGTTCCATATGGTTCCAATATATGGTTCCATATGGTTCCATATGGTTCCATATTCCCAACCCTATCAGGTATACAACGGTACGAGGCCAAAAAAGGGCAAAGGAGTCCCCTGAACAAGGGGTCACCATGTTGGTCACCAGTTGGGTCGGTCTCGATTTCCATGTGGACCTGCCACTCCATCTTTCGCTGGCAGGAGTTCTCTCCCGCCACGGCACTCTTCTTGAAGGTGCGAGTTCTCCCATCTTTACCTGAGGGCTTGACTGGCCAGTCGTCCCGGCGCCCGGCGTCCCGGCGCCGGGATCCTCCAAAGTTTGCAAAACAGACATCTGCGCTTCAAGCCATGCGTCATGCTGTCAGCACAATCTGATTACACGATAAGACTGTATAGGAAGTGCATGAATGCCGTACTCCCTGCATTGGGGTGCTTTTTACGATGCTTTAAGGGTCAATGTATAGCAAATATGACATGGATTGGCATTGTTGGGGTATAAAGAAGACCTTGAATTAACAAAGGTGGCCCAGCACCGATCCAAACAGCTCGGACGTTGTTTACAGGTGACACGTTTTTTGGCTTGGTGATCGCCCAAGTGGTGTTTGTGTGAAAGATATGCAGCTCAAAGGGGAATGGATGTTCACAGCGCCTTGGTACTCAGTTGGGCCAAACGGACTTTTTGACTTTCTTACCTTGGAAGTTGAACTACGCACCTGTCGAAAGGGTTTCAAGTAATTTGACTCAGCACCCCGTTGGTTCAATGCCAAAGCCGAAAACACTGCGTTGCCACACAACGCCACGTACGCACTGGAAAAATGCAGAAAACAAAAACACTGTGCGGAGCCGGACGGAACGTGGCTGAGCCTGGTTCTTCTGGTTCTCCCGGGATCCTCCTTTGGTTGGACTTGGGCGCTCTTAGAAACTCCTTTCATCACGAAACTGAAGTTCAGAAGCTGGGTTCCCAGCGTTGCACAGCCCCTCGACTTGGAACTCGCTCTTTTTTCGCAATCTGCGGAAGTGTTTGAGGCGGCTGTGAAGGCGGGAAGCAGGCAGAACATCCAGATAGAAATCGGATGTTTACGTTCGGAAAGGCACCCACCCCAGTCCCACCTTCTGAGAAGGTACGACTGGATCCCTAGGGTACGTTCGGAAAACAGCCGAGCATTTGCAGCCAATTTGGAATCGAAGGACATTTCATCACAATGTTTCCATCCTGCGAGAACTTCACGATTGTTCCAGTGATATCCTCGCCGCTGTCCATGCGCAAAGTGCAGCGGAGATTCCTGGGACTCGGTGGGGTTCACGGCTTGGAACGAAGGACGCGATCCTCTTTCAGGCGCCTTTTCAGAAAGGTGAGTGTCAAAAAGGTTCCAATGTACAGTATAGATAACTTCGTGCCAGTGATTCATTCACTGAGGGTCTGAAAAAGATCCACCCCTTCCAAATCTTCCACTATATACCTGGAGTCTCCAGTTCGTACCTTAGAAAATGGGACATGACCCCATAAAAAACAGGTACGACCTACTACCCCTTTTCCGAGGTACGAGTTCCGGGTCGACTCCATGTGCCTAGCTTTTTCAGTTGGTGACCGCACTTGCTACGAGTCTCCCAGATGCTTCGGTCACACTGCACGACGAGGCAAGGTTCGATCGCTGGTACTGCACGACGAGGTCACGAACTGAGGAAGCTAGTAGAATTAGGGCCTAAGCCCTGTGGATCACTGGGCTGTGGAACTTAGGTATGTTGACTGGGGCTTATCTGGTTCTCCAAACAGATTGATCAGCTTCTATCGCATTGCGCGCATTCAATTAAGAAGATGACCAAGTCTCGAGTGGCTGAGTGGCTTTGCATGTTCCATCAGTATCTGTCAACAATGACTTGATTCGTTCTCAAGTGCAAAACTAAGCAAACCTAACCCGTTGAAGGTCGACCATCTACCAGCTTCTTCCAGACTTGGTGTGAGAACCACAGATCTTCCTCCCAGGTGTGGCAAGTTACAACCGGGAAAACCTCCAAGCACCACCAAACCAGGACAAACACCCAGGAGTTGGGTGCGATCGAGGTAGGAGTTGGGACAGTCACATCCACTGCACGGTAAGGGGACGTTTCACACCACCCCGAGCTCTGTGACTCGTGGACCACCCTCCTTTTCCTTGGTTCGAATCAAAAACTCCTCCGGCCGGAGCGAGATCCGCCCTCCGACCAGCGATTGAAGGACCCATGGTTCCACGGCGACGGGGGGTCCGAAGCTGCACCAACCACACCGAAATATGGTCCTGGACCCTATCAAAAACCCAAAACCAGAGATCCTGGACCTGGGCTCTAGGAAGAGCAAAGCTGTCATGTCTATTCACCTTCCAAAAGATCTGGACCAACGAAACTGACTGGTGACACGAAACTGCTGGGATTTGGTGGGATATGTGAACAAAGACCTGCACAAAGACCCGAACTCGGACAAAACAAATACAAACCTTTAAGGCTCCCCACGCAAAGGCCCTCCACTTCCACCACCAGCACCAGCAACATCACCAGCAAACCCAGGCCACAACAAAACCAAGGCTCTTTAGGTGTGGATCCTTCCACCAAAGCTTCATCATCATCAACACTTGAAACCTGAGAGATGCGCCAAAAACAGACAACAACAACAACAACAACAACAACAACAACAACAACAACACCAGAAGATGCGCCCATCTTGAGGAGAACAAGCCGACGCCAAAAGGAACACGCGAGGTGCCTGTGCTTGTGTTGGTGTTTGTTGTTGTTGCTGTTGCTGTTGCTGCTGTTGTATGCTGCTGCTGCTGCTGCTGTTGTTGTTGTTGTTCTTGTTGTGGCAGGCTCAGATACTCCAAGCATCGTCTACCTCTGGAAACTTATATAAAGCGCTAGTTTAAGTGGATCCGTTTTTCTAGACTCAATTGTGCATCCTGCTGTCATCCAAGTGCAGAACCAACCAATCACAGCCACTGCAAGCCAACCTCCCACGAAAGAATACACACTCGTTCTTTGGCCGCACCATGTTTCTTCTTCTGAAAGGTGTATAGGGAGTACTGCAAATGAATTCCAAAAAAGAAATCACTGCGCGCATATAATATAAATATATATATTGTGAAGCTCGCAAGCTGTGTGACGACTGTCTCATGCGGTTCTCCGATGGTTCAATCCACCGAGAAGGGTGGGCGGGCGGACATCGTGATTACACGGAAAAGCGAGGGCGCTTCGTTAGGTGAACAGGGTTTTCACAGTAGATAGTGGTCTATCTCCAGTGTGAGATTAACATTGGTAGCGGAGCCTCCGCAAGGAGGCATAGGTTCCTTTTGGGGTGGTTCCCTTGAGAGTAATTCACCTAGGTGGGTGTGCATTTCAATCAATTTGTTTTGTTGCAAGACATTTTACCATCCATCATTTCGTGAGCCATGGCTGGGACAGAAGGAAGTCAGACGGAAGAGAAGTCTGGCCACATTTGGAGTTTGCTGCCAGGATTTGATCCTGCCACAGATGATCCCCGAGAATATGCTGACAAGATCCGTTTTTTACACTCCATCTGTCCGGCCAAGGACAGGCCGATGTTAGCTCCGAGGCTCGCACTTCTGATGAAGGGCACGGCTTGGGCTCAAGTCAAAGCCCTAGATGGTACAAAGCTCTCTGATCCGAACGGTGGCATCAAGCTCCTTCTGCAGACTGTTGCTGATTGGGAGGACTCAGCTGAACTGCAAACTTACGAGAAGTTTGAGCGTGCACTGTACAAGGTGACCCAGAAACAGGATGAGAGCGTGTTCTCCTATGTCAACCGGATGAACGTAGCATTTGCTGAGATCGACAAGGTGACGGTCCCTGAGATCAAGGCCTTCATCATGCTACGCCAGAGTGGACTTGGAGCCGAGGACAAGAAAAGAGTCCTGGCAATGTGTGGGGGAGAACTTCGTGCAAAGAAAGTTGAGGACTCCATGAGACAGCTGGCACCTCGTGTCCTGGTGGGCACTACTGGGACGGAGCCTAAGAAGAAGGTTTATGCAGTCAACTTCGTCGATGACGATGAAGACATGCCGACGCCGGCCTATTTTGCAGATGAAGAACAGCCCATGGACGATGAGCATGGAATCCAATTGTTGATGGAACAGGGAGATGAAGATGCTTTGATGATCACGGAGTTCGAAGACCAGTTGATTGAAGCGTGCCAGGACAATCCGGATTTGAGCATGTGCTTCTCGGCATACACTGAAGCACGAGGCCGAGTCAGAGAGAAGATTCGTTCCCGCGGCTTTTGGCCACCAGTCAAAGGAAAAGGGAAGCCGAAAGGTTCGAAGAAAGGAACCTGGAATCCAAAAGGGGGTTTTCGCAGACGGCAATCGTTGGCTGACCGGATAGCCAACTCCCATTGTCGACTGTGTGGTGCTCGTGGACATTGGCGTCAAGAATGTCCGAACAAAGGAAATGCCGGAAATGCCAATGCCTCGTCGGCCGAAATCCATGTGTCGACCTTGGTAGGAGAAGGACCAGGTGATGAAGACCCCGAAGTTTTGGAACGACTGCCAATTTCACTTGAGCAAGCACTACCTGAGTGGTGGCCTGTGTTCAACTCGGAGGGCAGGATTCCGGAGCAGATGAACGAGACGATGTCCAGCACCAACCTTGGCAAGAATGCTTCTGAGACCATGGATGACCGCCAGGTTGGGAGTCCGACAGTGCCCACAGAATTTTGTTGGGATTCTAAAAGAGAAACCCGTGTTAATGAAGAATTCAATTTTGCTGCTCTGTCTTTGAGAGACATGAAACAGACGCTGAAACGGGGGGTGAGAGACCTTACACTGGGGAAATGTGTCAGGAGTGAATCACCACCTCTTGAGCCGGTGTTTTTTGTAGACCACGGAAGCGTAGCTATCCTTGATACGGGAGCTAGTAAGTCTGTGATTGGAAAAAGGAGACTAGAGCAGCTGATCTCAAGTTTGCCGCAAGAGTTTGCCCGAAAGATCTCATGGCAGAAGTCGGAGACCATTTTTCGATTTGGAAATAATGGCACCCTTGCAAGCTTAGGAGCTGTGTTTATGCCATTCGGTAAAGGTTGGCTAAAGATTGAAGTGGTTGACGGAACCACTCCCTTTCTCCTCTCCAATGCTTTTCTGAAAGCTGTGTCGGCGGATATCTGCACTTCGAAACGATTGCTGTGCATGTTTCATGGAAAAGTAAGTGTTCCATTGAATGTGAGTAGTAAAGGACTGTTTTTGGTTGATTTGTTGCTGATTCTGAAACATGCGAATCAATTAGAGATGAATGGAAACTGGGAGGTCGTGACTAATTTAACTGATGAAACTCAACAAAGAAGTCGACAACACCCGGAGACAAACACGACTTGGACAGCAGACATGCCACAGTCACACACTCCTCCAGCAGCAACTCGAGTGTCAAGCACGTGCGAGCAATCTCCAGCCAGCCCCAAGCACTATGGCGCCCAAGAAGGTGATCACCACCTATGCCTACGGAGGGACCATGGATGCGCCCCTGGCATTCCCCGAGGATGCCACGCTGGCGACGATTCCCTCGAGCAGCGATGCAACCATCGTCAAACCACCAGGAGTGATGACTCTACGACAATGGGGAGAGCAGACAATGGGGGGAGGAAAGCATGCCGGGAAGACCTTCTCAGACATCCTGGCCATCGATGCGAGCTATGTCGAGTTCATGAAAAAGAAGAGCGATTGCACTTCAGCCTGGGCACTGAGCTTCCACAATTACGTCCTGGCAGTCGACAGGATGACTCAGCCAGAATCCATGGGAGCTCGTCAACAGGTGTTGACCCCACAGATGACCAAGGAAGAGTGGAGTCAGCAGGGTGCAATTGTGACAGACTGGGATGTGATCGACGAATTGAAGAATCCACATGGCTCGGAAGTTCCGCAAGGAATCACATCCTTGGCAAGTGGGCCCATGACGGGAAAGAGGATGGCAACCAGCAGCGACGACCACAAGAAGATGCAGGTGGACATGCAGAAGGAGACCCGCGACCGCGTGAATCAAATTCAGACACAGATTGCGATCTTGCAGCGAGAGCTGACATTCTTGATGCCAGCCGAAGAGCCATGAACAACCCAAAAGTGAAGTCGAGTTATGACGATGAACAATTCTTGACGGAAGTTCACGACAGTATAGACACTCCTATCTCAAATTTCTATGCCCAGGAGTTATCTAATCTGGTGGAGAAAATTGAGCTTCAGTTAGAAGAATTGGCACACCACTCGGCTGACATCCGGACACGACATTCAGCACCACGATTCACCAATTCGAAGGAGAGATTGGACATCCTGGAGATTTATTGTTTCCCAGATTCCCAACTCACCCAGACCGCCCACCAGTTAGGCCTCAAGGCCCGAAGATTTACCCTCCAGGATGGTGATCTCAGAACCCCAGAAGGCCAAGAACGGCTATGGCAGATCATGGAAACCCAGCGGCCCAGACACATTTGGGCATCACCTGACTGCAAACTCTGGGGCAACTTCGCCCGACGGAACATGGGAAGAAGCAAGCAACTGAGAACACGAATACTGGATGGTAGGAAACACGAAAGGCCCAACCTCAGTTTGTGTGAAGAGATCTATCTGTACCAGGTCGAGAACGGTAGACATTTTCATCTTGAACAGCCTGTAGGGTCGGAGTTGTTGCTTCAACCAGAACTGGAGCAGACTAGGTACGGGACCCTCCCAACGATTTTCGATATGTGTGAGGTTGGAAAACTGAACTGGAAAGGAGAACCTTTACAGAAAAGAACCATTGTTTTGACGACCTCCCGGATCATTCACGGTGCCTTGGACTGCCGGTATTGTTGCAAAACTCACGAACACAGGCAGATTGCAGGTCAGGTGAAGCACGGCGGTAGTTGGATCTCGCTGTCATCATTTGCAGCAAAATATACCGCAGGCTTTGCACGCACCGTGGTTCGAGCAATGCAGAGAGAGTTTCGAATGAAGCTCCATTGCTACAAGAAGAACTCCGAATTTCGTCTAGGGGAGAAACGGTAGACGAGGTGTTGGTTGGTGAGGCCATCAAACGAAGACGATTGATTTCGAAACAAACGGTGAGGGAAGCAGGAAACGAAGAAGATGAAGACAGAGATGACCACAGAAAACGAAACGAACAGGACCGATTGAAAGACCTTTTTGGGGAACTTGAGAAATTGGCGCCCAGGGTTGGTTCCGTTGTGATTGACCCTAAGAACCCCACTTTTCAGACGGCACAAGGCTTTTGTACTTTCAAGTTGGTTCATGCAGAGGCCTGTAGGGGAACTGAACGATTGCGCATTCCCAAGGTTGGTACACCCCTGAAAGACTTGGAGGTTAGGAAGACTTACTCATTGAGTAGGAGTACGGGGGAAGTTGAACTTGTAGGAGAAGAAGAGGAATGGCAGCGTTTGACACAGAGACAACGTATAAGAAAAGGAATTCCCTCAAGGTTGACACTGACAATGTTCGGCACTAGGAACATGTCATGTTCGGTCTCGTCGTCCATGTCGTCGAACGGGATTGTAAACGAAGATGAGGACATGAACATGGAACGGGAGAAACGAAAGACAGAAACCGGACCGGATATGGAACATGAGATAAAACCGAAACGATTGAAGGGTTTGAAAGATGACCTAAATGACAAGGATGTAGGATCAGAAACAAACCAGCCTGTTCTTGAGAAAGATGAAGAAAGGGAATTGGAGATAGTGGGAAGGCCCCCTAGGAACATTGCTAGACATGGTCCAGCCTTTTTGGGGTTGAAGGAAGAACAACAGAAGTGGTTGAGACAGGTACACCACAGACTGGGACATCCCGACCCCGATACTTTGACCCGCTATCTTCGTTCCACGAATGCAGAGCCAGAAATCATCGAGGGGGCGAGAGACTTTCAATGCGACGCCTGCTCGGAGTCTCGGAAAGGCTTTGATTTGCCACAAGCCGGAGCCATCCATGAGAACTTAGGATTCAACGACACAGTGGGGATGGATGGAGCGGTTTGGATGAACTCACAAGGGACACACTTCTCCTTTACTCACCTGATTGATGAAGGGACTTTGTTTCAGGTAGCCCGACCATGTGGGGGAGACTCAAATTCACAATGGACCTTTTTGGAGGAACACTGGTTGGGTTGGGCAGGACCACCTCAAACAATTTATGTTGATCCCGCCAAAGAATATTTGAGTGAAGCCTGGCTAGGGAAGATACAAGAATTAGGGATAACTATAAAGGTCTCTGCACGTGAATCCCATTGGCAGTTGGGAAGGGTTGAATCTCATGGAGCCATCATCAAAGGCATGTTGAGTAGGATGGATCTGGAAAAACCCATACTAGATGAAGAAGCTTTCCGGAGAGCATTGATCCAGGTTTGTCATGCTAAGAATTCTTTGACCCGGAAATCCGGGTATTCCCCGGAACAAGCTGTTCTAGGCTGTGCTACCCGTTTGCCCGGTTCGGTCACATCGGATGAGAACGCACTAAGTCATGCTAGAGCATTGGATGAAGGGTCGAACAGTTTCAAAGAGGCTTTAGATTTGAGGGAGTCAGCTAGGAGAGCATTTGTTTCCATGGACAATTCCAACAGTCTTCGCAGAATCATGTTGCGCAGAAGCAGACCCATGAAAAACAACTTTGAGGTAGGGGATGTAGTACTATACTGGAAACGAAAAGGTGGCAACATGCGTAGGGAACGAGGTCAGTGGTTTGGTCCAGCTAGGGTGGCACTGGTTGAAAGGAAGGTGATCTGGTTGGTACATGCCCACCGCCTGATTCGTGCTAGTCCTCAGCAGTTGCGTGCCGCGTCACTCAGAGAGTGGAAGGCTGTGAAAGACACAGCCGAGTTTCAGGTTCCAGTGCCGGAATGGGCTAGGAAGATAGGACATCAGGACATGTGTGACTTGGACCCAGAGGATCTCCCTGAACCGAGTGAACCTGATGTGAACCCACCAGAACTAGAGGCAACGGAAGGACCTGAAGAAACCCCGGACCCAGAACCTGAAGAAGAAATGTCGGTTCCCACACGGAGAGGATCCATGGATTTGGAAGAGGGAAAGGTCAGAGACGGTGTAGATGTACCGGTCCCCGATGATGATGATGGGTTCTTTGGAGATACGGTTTTGTTCAACGAGGGTGTAGTTCAAGACCATTGTTGGGAGATAGATGTGACTCCTGCCAGAGATCTTTCCGAAGCCTGGGATACGCCCGATGCCTTCGTCCTGGCCGCAGTCTCTGAGAGGAAGAAACGAACGGAAATAAAGTTGAAGGAGCTGTCACAGGAAGACCAAAAACGGTTCGCTGTGGCCAAGCATAAGGAGTTGCGGGCATGGCTTCAGCATCGGACCATTCGAAAGGTGGCTCAGGGAAGAATTCCAGAGCACGCCATCATGAGATGTCGGTGGTTGTATGTCTGGAAGAATCCAACCGGAGAAGAACCACCCGAGGACTTGTCAGCGACCGGCAAGAAAGCGAAAGCTCGGTTGATTGTCATTGGTTGGGAGGATCCACAGTTGGATGAGGTGACCAACGACGCCCCTACTTTGTCCAAGGATGGTCGAATGACAGTCCTACAGGGAGTTGCAAGTCACCAGTGGCCACTGATCTCTTTCGACGTCTCCACTGCCTTTTTACATGGCAAGGGTGATGGAAGGCCACTTGGACTAGTTCCGGTCCCAGAAATGCGTGAAGCTCTAGGAATGGGAGAGACCGACCAAGTCCAACTGGATGGTGGAGCATATGGTAGGATAGATGCCCCATATCTCTGGTTCTGTGAGTTTAGGGACGAGTTGATCAAGCAGGGCTGTAGACAGAATCCATTAGATCCATGTGTCTTCACGTATCATTCAGCGAAAGGCTTGGAAGGTTGCCTAGGGATCCATGTAGATGATGGAATAGGCGGCGGAAGTCCGCTGTTCATGGAAATGTTGAAGAAGGTGGAGGCGCGGTTTAAGTTTGGGGCTTTCGAACAAGGGGAATTCACCTACACTGGAATTCACTTCAAACAATGGGATGACGGTTCCATTGAGTATGATCAGATTCCCTATGTTGAGAAGATAAGCCCTATCGTTTTGGGGAAGGGTAGACGGGATGACCCTGAGTCACTGATCACTGAAGGTGAACGAACCTCATTTCGAAGCCTCATTGGAGCCCTCCAATATGCAGCGGTTCATAGTCGTCCAGATTTAGCAGCCAAAGTTGGAGAATTACAGAGTGAGGTCACCAGGGCTAGAGTGAAACATCTGATTCTTGGTAATCGTGTTCTAGCAGAGGCAAAGCAGAATCGAGTGTCTTTGATGATACTTCCGATAGAACCTCAGTATGTGACTCACTGTGCATTTTCCGACGCGTCATTTTCGTGCACCAAACATACCACGGCACAGCAAGGTACTATCATTTTCACGACCACACCAGAGCTCCTTGAGAACAAGAAGTCAGTAGTTGCTCCCATAGCCTGGTTTAGTAAAAAGATACCCCGTGTTGTGCGAAGTACACTTGGTGCAGAAGCGGCGGCATTGAGCAATTCGGCAGATCGATTGATGTGGGTTCGAGTCCTATGGTCGACACTACTAGATCCTGATTGCGACTGGAAGAGGCCAGAGAAGATGCTATCTAGTAGAAACCCAGGTGCACTAGTAACCGACTGCAAGTCTGCCTATGATCTATTAACGAGAACGGCAATTCCCCAGTGCTCGGAACACAGAACAACGATCGAATGTTTGTTGATTCGCGAAAGGCTTCAAAACAATGCCACGGTTCGCTGGGTTTGCTCTCAGGCTATGTTAGCTGACTGTCTAACTAAGACAATGGACAGTAGTATCCTCAGAGAGTGTTTGAAAACTGGAAAATACACACTCCGTGACGAAAGTCATGCTTTGAAGGAGCGGCTGACAGCGAGAGAGCGCTTGAAATGGATTAAGCAACACCGATCGGAAAACGATCGACAAAATGAAGCAGCCATGATGATGGAACAATCCGGCAAACAGATGCATGATGAAGATTTTTGGAAGCAAGGTCCGAATGGAGAGATTATTCGGGTGCACGTGAAACCACGTTACCAGCGGTTCTCACCTGTTGGGGTTGAAGGTTGTCCAGTAGATCTACGGAAGTTAGAGACCTATAGGGATACATATCAACAGGGGTGTGCAGGTGAACGTGACTATTGGGTGGGGACATGTGCACATCGAAGAACGATCTTTCCTTGGATCGGTGAGACAGTGTTCTTTGAAAAGAAAAAGTAAGATGAGTGTGAAGCTCGCAAGCTGTGTGACGACTGTCTCATGCGGTTCTCCGATGGTTCAATCCACCGAGAAGGGTGGGCGGGCGGACATCGTGATTACACGGAAAAGCGAGGGCGCTTCGTTAGGTGAACAGGGTTTTCACAGTAGATAGTGGTCTATCTCCAGTGTGAGATTAACAATATATGTATGTATATATATGTGTGTGTCACGCTCTGTTGTGGAACTATGTTTTGATCATTTAACTTGCCACTACCACCACGCCAACCACACAAACCACCCAAAGAAAAGATCTTCAAATCAAAACAGTTATATAACTGAAAATGGAATGAGTTTACCATCAGGGAGCTCTTCTTTCTGATCATCGATGGTCTTGATCTCATGAGGATTGATCTCCACATAGACCTTGATCATCTGTCGACAATCCACCAGTTTCCTTCGCTCGGCCGAACGAAACTGGAACACCCGTACACGGTCTTGTCTGGGCATAGGACTGCCATGTATCTGTACTAAGTCTGCTATGATCTGCTCTGTCTATCCTATATAAGTCTAGTGGTTGATGGAAATGAAAGGAACACCGTGGCAGCAGCTGCGATGTCAGGAAAGACCATTTCTTCGGAGTTCCATTTTTCGGGGGTGATGTGGATTAATCCAGAGTACCCGTGGGCACCGGTTTGCTGTCGGGCACCCCGACTCCTTCCGAAGGGGTTCGGAACACCGCGGCACCCGTGGAACTCCAGGGAACTGGCCCTTCGTTCATCTTCAGGAGTGGATTCGCTGTGATGTATAGGACACGGGTGCAAACGCACACCGACCGCACACCGGCTCCATATCTCTTCAAGGAACAAAAAAAGCAACTTCAGAGGGAAGGGAAGGGATGTCGACATGACTTCGGAGCTCCGTGGTTTAAAACAAAGATGGTGGTAGTGGTAGGTGTTGGTATTTTGAATGATATCATATTCGTCGTTCTTCCTTCCTTCATCGTTTCCCTAGGCCTCCAAGTACCTTCGAGAAGGTGTTTACTTCTGCGCCTTCTGCGCCATGCCAGACTGCAGACCAGACTGCGGGTGTGTGCATAAGACTGTGGATCAAGCACGCCCATGAGGCTGCAGTTCAAGTATGTTCTCACATCTCAAACATAACAACTCATGCACTGCTTCGAACACATGTTATCCTGCTTGGCCTGTCAGGGTCGACCCTGCGCCGCGAAAAAATGCATCCTGAAGGGCAGACCTTCTGGGTGTGACGAGGCATTGCTCCAAAGAGATACATGGTTAAAGATATCATGTCAAGATGACTGTCAAGATGCATGTCTTAGCGTAGATGGTCAATGGCGGAAGATCTTCTTGGATTCTGAAGCAGGGACAAAAGGAAGAGAAGAAACATCTCATCCGTCGAGGCCAAACGTAAACACAAAACACATCCAGCTGGACCGGAGAATCAAGCACACAATCTCCCAACAAAAATTTAGCTTGGAGGGTGGCTTGGAGTATGTGACAATCTTTTGATAGATAAGGGTCCTTAGTTTGGGGCCACTCTGCAATGCTACTTGACTTGAGTGCCTCATCTATCTCGGACTCCTCCTCGACCCGTCTGATGCACCGCGTTGCGCGCACAGATGCGTTGCGTCTGATGCGCGCGAGCTAGAGATAAGGGTCTTCTTCCTGGCATCGTTGCACAACTTGTAGTATTCCAGGATGCAGCCGCTCCTCGGTCGTCTCTTCCCGTCCCACGACACTCGTGTCGTCGGGCGGAGAGGCGGTCTGCGACGCGCCTTTTGAAACCGGGCTTGGACGGTCACGGTGGCTTGGAAGGTGTGGGAGGGTATAGTCAAAAGAGCTTCTCCAAGGCGGACGGTGATATGTAATATCTTGTACCCAGACGCAGCCGCTCCAAACAGCCCTTGGTCCCTCAAAACCATAGGGATTTGAGGGTCCAGACCCTTCCATATGAGGGTCCGACCCCTGCATATGAGGGGCCAGGAGCGTCTGGGTACATCTTGTACCATTCTTTCATTTCCACCACATGTTCCGTACCATGGGTCCCTTCTGCCTGAACCTTCTCCACTTCGAGGATGTGAGACTCCCGAGCCAGCCCGAGCTGTTTCGATCGATTGCCTGGACTTTCATACCACTCTCCAGCTCGGCACGATCTTCTGTTCTTGTAGGAAAGGAATCTCCAAAAAAAAACATGTTTTACAGTTATACAGGTATAAATTGCAGGTTCTCTCCACTGTTGAATCTTTTCAGTCAGTGGCTCGCCCTACATCTCGGGGAGAATGGTGAGTTCGAGGGCTCAAAGGTCCAAGGTGGAAGCAAAAAAGGATCAGGGTCCCTTGCCCGAAGGGATGCACATACCCTCTGACAATCAGATTAGAAACACTGTTAGATGCCAGGATGGTCCAAGCACCGTACCTGAGAAGGTACGACTGGATCCCTAGAGTTGGAGTTGCTTAAGGAACCGAGAAACAGAAAAAAACATATTCACCGGAAGGGGGATTCACCCATAGGAAAAGGTATCACCTGAAGTGAAACCAGCATCTGCTATCAGGTTTGATTGCAACGGTGGTTTGTTTGGGATTGTTTGGGTTGTTTCACACCTCAAAGCTGCCCAAGTATCTCGTAGCCCGGGGGACATAACTGCTCATCCTCGTCCTGAAATGCTGCCAAATGAAGCGATGAATTCCAAACAACATGGAGCATTCACATGTCCAGGAACACCTTCGCCATGCTAAGCCATGCTAAGCCTATGGTGTAGATGTTTGGACACCTTGGCACTGCTAGAGGGACTTTGGTCTCACAGCTAAGGTCTTCAATCACATCGTTTCCTACGGCCGTACGGTCCTACGCTCTCAAAATCCAAACGGACAAGACCGCAACTCTGTGTGAGAGGGAATTCAGGCTCCCAAGCTCTACCCCAAATGGTTCCAATCGGCCTGATTGAATTGGAACTTCAGGGTTTGTGGCATCTGCTTCCGTTCGGGGGCTGGAAAAAAACCCTACACTGCGTGACCTTAGGTCACCAGACAGGACACCCATTTTGGCATCCTCAGACTCCGATCTTCATGTCGACTCATCGTAGCCGAACAAACACAGCAGAAGCACAGATCTCGAGTGGGCGCAAACCCTGGGAGCCATGGGACGTTCAATGTAAGAAACACAAACTAACAAGTCCTTAAATAAGTTTTATAGAGTCCTTTAAGGCACCTGATTTCAGGGAGCATCCCTTTTCTTGACAGTCGACTTCAGAATCCACTCCTCCTGCAAAATCGCCGATCTGCGTCCGCGAATGTCCGTTCCTCGTCCTTTGACGTTCGAACAACAACTGAGACGACCCATATGGGAAGACCAAGGAGGACGGCTCCGGTCACATTGGAGTCGACTCCGGGTCGTTCGAGCACCGAAGGATTCAAAAGATCGATGACGTTCCATACCAGGACCATCCTGTCTGGGTGTCGAAGCCGACTTCCCCTACACCGACTTACTCGTCGTACCGAACCTCAGGAGAAGGTATGACTGGAACCGACTGGCGGGCACCCGGGCACCCAGTCCCACCTTGGAGGCATAGGGTAGTGTAGGGTAGTCCATTGGACCAGACAGGATAGTGCAGGTCGCGTACCGAGTCGACTCGGAACCGAAGGAGCCCCTGGTTCGGCCCCGCTGGTGGTGAAGTCGTCGTACACGTGCCGGCCCGTTGTGCATCGTACTTTGGAGGGCCCAGGCATAGTCCTACAACACTCTAACTGTATGATATCTCAATGAGAAGTGTGATGACCTATATGAGCTCCCCTGAGTTCCGTGCCAAGCATCCGACGAGGTTCCATCTTCAATCATCTCATGACACAACATCCACACCGGCCGCCCGGCGAGTCGCCGGCGGCCAAGGCGGCAAAAGACCCACGCCCGGGGGGGTTGTCGCGTCCGCCCAACAGGCCCCGGCAGAAGTTGGAAGACAAGATTGGACAGGTGGAATTGGTCGTCGTTGGGTTCATGGTCGTCTAGAACTCTTAAATTGTTTTAAAGACGATTCTACTCCTACAACAGCTCTACTTTAAAAAATAGAATACAGTAAAACAACAATAATAATAACTAAGTAAGGAGAACTCTTATTTTGTGGTTTCCAACTTCTGGTGGCTGCTCTTTGGCATGTGGGCGCGACGCGTCTGAGGCTAAAAGCAACTGGCAGGCTTGGTTTTTGGCGGCCAGCAGATCAGCAAATCAACTCTGAAAAAAGCAGGTCCCTCAACGAAATAGATGCTGCCAATTAAACAACCAGAGGATCTGTATGCTGTTTTCCTCAGAAATTCTTGGGACCTCCATGGCAGGAGTCTGAACCTCCATAGCAGGAGTCTGGACCCTCAAAACCTATGTGTTTGAGGGCCCGGATTTTGATGGTGATTCAATTTTTTGGGAAGACGCATTGGTGGGTTGTGACGCCACCGTTTAAGCCACCCCAATCCATCTGAGCACGATCTTTCGATCAACACAGAGATTCAGGCGACAGGCGTCCGGCGTATGGTTTTTACAACGGGACCTGGCATTTACTTGCAATCCCTATAGGGATCCAGTCGTACCGAACCTCAGAAGGTACGACTGGACCCTCCACACCTACAAAACAGTGTCTTCAATCACATTCTGACAAGGTAATTACTTGGATCCCACCACCGACCAGTTAAAGACTGAACAATACTGAACACCCAGCCTACCATGACTGCACGTAGCTCAGTGGAAGGCGGTTGAGTCAGTTACTTGGAACGTGTTGAGTCAGTCGTCGCCGTGCTGACCCGAACATGGGACGTCTGACCCGGACAAAACCCAAACAGGCTCGACCGTACCAAGAACTTTCCCGTTTGGGATCCAGTCGTACCGAACCTCAGGTACGGCACCTGGACCCGACCAGGGCACCCATCCCAGTCCCACCTTTGAAACGAAGGGTCTGACGGTACATCTTCCTTGGGATACGTCGTTCCTTGAGGTGTTTGGTCACTCCTTGAGGTGTTTGGCCAAAAAACCGAGTTCTTGGTGCAAGCAAGAAACATCGATGCAGCTGCAGCTCTTTTTGGATTTGGGATAGAATGGAAGACATGACGGCGACTAAAGCTACATCAACGGCGACTAAAGCTACATCAAGTGACAACCAGTTGTCTAAAAAAATGGCTCTTGAAGGAATTCTTTCCAGAATCCGTTCTACCAGGGACCCAAAACACAATCAAAAACCTGGTGTTCCCTATACCTGGAACATCGAAAGGCCTAGAAAAGAAAGGACTTTAGGAAATACTCGAAAAGTCGCCGGAGGCTCTTTTTTTTCCGGGAGATCCTTCTATGAGCCTTTCAATGTACCAGGAAAGTATGACCAACAAATCAGAGGTTCAGTCATCGTTTTGAGTCCCAGTCGCTGGATCAAGCCAGGCAAGTGAAGGCTCGCAACATCATGAACCCCAAAAAATGTAACAGCATTGGGGTAGCTTGGATTTCTGAAACCATTACTGCTGTGAGGATTCCAGATGGAACTGATGGAGCCACCAAATCCCTGGCAGTACCATTAATGCATGTGCACGCACGATATTTTGTTATAATAAAGTGCTGCAACATCCATTAGTTCATCCAGCGTTTGGGGTGTTTCACCATGGGTCGTTTCACAGCTCGGCAAGCTGCACGTCGCCTGATACTTAGATCATATATGCTGTGTCAACAGGGAGAAACTCAGTACCCCAGTGATTTGGCGTGATTCTACCATCCTGAGGTTTGGCAGAAAGGGGTGCCCCCCAGCCCTGCTTTCAGATTCCAACTGATGGCTCATTTCCAGTCTACTATCCCGAACTTTGTCAGGTGGTCATGAAATATGGTGTGTTAAGTGCTGAAAAGTGAGCCATCAAATTCATTCATCTTCGTTGCTGGTGAGCGAACCCTATCTTTTTCCAAACCTCAATTGAAGGGCTCAAACGAAAAACCATTTGGCCGTCGCATCACATCCTTTTTCGATGCCACAAGCTCTTCGCACAGACAAGATTCTCCTCCTGGAGGCCGCGTGCTGAGTTTGAGCATATCCAGCTTGACCCCTGGAGTTGGTGTGCACGTTGGTTCCCATGCCTGCTTCAGGATTTCTATCGCGACCAGCTGAGTGATGAGAACGCTGTCCGGAAACGGTGGGAGAAACTAGCTAAGAAGAAGGGAATCTCGAAAGAAAAGGTCGAAAAAAGGATGAACAGTGATCAGGCCAGAGACGTACGCTTCATGGCCTTCACAATTTCTTTGGGGTCTATTCGATGTATGTGAACATGTTGGGAGGCCCCTTGCAACTGGAGCTTCATTGATGTCCCTGACTTGAAAGAGGGTGAGGCAGAAGACAAGGTCATCACTGTACAAGTGGTTCCCACGGCATGTTTATGTTGAATAAGATGGCAATGCCAAATGATCGTTCATGAAGCTACCTGCCAGTTGGAGCAAACTCGGAACTACGAGTTCTTGTTGGGCTGGCTTGCATCTTTTGCTGCCGAAATCCCGACGCAGAATGAAATTCAGGCTGGTGTACCCGTGGATTGATCAGTCACCTGGGGTGGCCTCGTGTTGTCTAGTCAGGTTTGATAAGATTTATTTCATCAAATTAGCTCAATTTAGCACATTTTTGGCTCATGACGCTCTCTTTCTTTCTCGCCCCATCGCCACCAAAAACTGGCACACATACATGTTTTGCATCATGACTCCTTGTTCTTCAATCGTTACATCTTTTCTTCCCTAGCCATGTTGGAAATCGTCACCAACCCCTGGCCCCAAGTGTTTTCACATGTTCCCATCGTGGGGGGAGGTGTGCATGGTGTGGCAGGCCACGCTGATTAAGATCCACCAATCAACTCCTTTGTGCCGGGGACACACCAAGTTCGATGTTCAGGACTGAGTGCAGTGCCCTAGTTTCTGATGACATGGTTTGATCGCGAGGACTGGGCCACAGTGGAAGCCAGGAACACGAGACTCTTGACAAGCGCTGTTGTCTTTGCTGCCCGCCGCCATGAGCGCGCGCAGAAAGGTCACGAAAGGATGCAGGACTTGAAGTATATCGTCAGGGAGCAACGGGGACATAAATGGAAGAGCGATGGCCGCCTTGAAGGCAGGCTTGTCATTAGATTATGACACTGTATTTTAACATAATATTGTCCATACCAGATTTCGCGATGCTAGGCCAGACTGGCACACAGACTGGCAACCAGCTGGATGGCTTCAAAGGCACTGATGTCTCTGATTCTTCTGAGTCATCCACGCCTGCCAGAACT